ACACCACACACACACACACACCACACACACCACACACACACACACACACACACACACACACACACACACAGGTCAGGTGGAGGGTCAGGGACTGCTTAACGCAATGCTGTGACACAGACCTCCCCAGGCCTTCAGCTTACCATGCAGCAGGCCCAGCCAGTAATGAGCATAGTTATGTCACATTATGAGGCTGTATGAAACAAACTGTGCTTTAAAAATAGTATTCCATTATTATCAAGGCTGGAGTTTATGTTCTATTTACAAACATGACTGTGCCAGTGGTATTTTTGTTTTAAAACTGTAGGCATATTCATAAGCCATTACACTTCAATATTGACGTTAACTTGCCAAAGTCAAAGTGCATTTTTACTGGTTCTACGTATCATTATTCCAAGAAATGTTAGTGCAACTTTCTGCATCATTTTAAAGCAGAAACAGATCTAATGTCATTGTGGTTGCAGTGGGTGTCTGAGTGGGCAGTGCGGCTTCTAAACAGGATATGCTATTATGAATGATTTTACCACCTAGTCTAGAGAGGATCGATACTGTATCTACTTTTGAGAATCCATCCAGGAGGCTCAGGAGGCAGAGCGTGTCATCCACTGATCACAGGGTTGGCCATTCGATCCCTGGCTCCTCATGTCCACATGTCAAAGTGTCCTTGGGCAAAACACTCAACCCCAAGTTGCTCCTGAAGGGCAGGCCAGCGCTTTGCTCCAACGCCATCGGTGTATGATTGGTGAATGAGAGGGCAACTGTAAAGCGCTTTGGTCGTCAAGGTAGAAAAGGGATATATAAGAGCAGTCCATTTACGGTCAACATATTTAGGTCCACATTTACCACTTTTCAGAGACTTTTTTTTTTTTTTACAAAACATCCCTTTCTTGGTATCACTTCTTAAAGTATTTCTTAAATGGAGATGGCTGGAGATATTTGTGTTACGGTCAACAAATCTTATGAAAAGCAAAATCACCAATGTAGTTGTCTGTCTCTCAATAATTTCTGGTTTTCTTAACCTGTCTAATCAGGCCCAAGCCATTACTACTAATACTGTAGACGTTAATCTTTAAATACAGGTCACAAATATATACCCTCATTTTTACACACAAAAAAGCAAACTAGGCTCAGCTGGGCACTGTTTTTAGCAGCCATAAATAGTGTATCTATTGGGGACTATTTTCTGCTCCTCGTGAGTACCTACAGCAGCATAATGGGGTATGTCGGATTGGCTCAAAATAAACCACAATGCCTGAGTTCATCATAATGAAGAAACATGAGCAACTGTGTGGCCCAATTATGTGTATTTTTGACTGTAGGCTTGAGAGATACACAAACAATTGCTAGTATGTCAAATCAAATGTTGGATTTAGCCTTTTCACAGGATTTGTTGACTATAAGAAAAATATAGAATATCACAAAGAAGAAATGTTGCTTTTTTTTGGATAAAGCTTATCACCAGACTTATATTTTAAATAAAACTATTATGATCCTACTGCCACTATAAAGTTTGTCAGTGATTTCAGTAGCATTGCCAATCAATCCTGATTTTAAAAAAAAAAGACCACACTAAATGAGCATGATTATATTATCTAGTTTTGTTTCAGATTATCGCAAATCTGTCAACATACAGAAACAAGTGTGTGGTTAAAGTCTAGACGTGAGGACTGATACTTCTGAGTAGGAGCTCATGACGAAGAAAGAATAATAAAGAAAGGCAGAAGTGGGTTACCAAGAAGGTGGGGAGCACAAATAGTGTGATGGGGGAGCCAGTCTCTCTAGATATTAGAAAAGCAGGTGGAAAGAAAACAACTAAACGGAGGCTGAGAGAGTGTCGGCAAAATGCATGTATAAGACTGTACGGATAAAAAGAGAGCAGACACTGAAACAAGACAGAAAACTCATCAGCATGCGGCAAAGCCTTCTAGTTCTCCTCATCTCTGCATCCCTCCCTCCTTTGAATCTTTCTCTCTGTGCTGTACAGATTATCTTAATGGAAATGACCTCCATTTGAGACAGCTGAGTGGCCCAAACCTGATTAGTTATTTACCTCCCTTCCCTCTCTCTTTCCTTTATCCACTCATCACACACACATAAGCAGCACTGTGGCGCCTCAAGTCTTACTTTAACATCTTCCCTCCTCTCCCTTCTCTCTGCCAAGTTATGCCCTGGCCCCCCCACAGTGACGGTAATTTATTGTGTCATTTCATACGAGCCAATGGTCTCCCTGGTTTTACAAACTTGACAAGTGAGGGTAGCCGAGAGATATGTGCAACCATGGCAGGTGTTTGTCCAAGCGTGGTGATATGAAAGTGCTTTTAAAAGCTCTTCATGTCTGTAGAAAACACGTGAGGGTTCACGCGTCTTTACGTTAGGCCTTTCTATATAGCTCCTTATCCGTGCATGTTTGTTGCTCAAGAAGACATCGACACGTGCTGGTGACAGAAACGTGTGATTCCACGAGAGAGAGAGAGAGAGAGAGAGAGAGAGAGAGAGAGAGAGAGAGAGAGAGAGAGAGATGCCCTCCAAGATGAGAGCTCTCAAGCGATATAATGGCTCTCCTTTGGGCTCAAATCAGCGTGCAGAAAATGGTCTGCCCTGGTGGTGCCTGCTGCAGTGCAATGCAGGAAAAAAGCAAGAGAAGATATTTTATATATCAGACTCCAGAGCCCACTCACGCCTGTGCTGTAGGTGTGCCTATGACGCACACTGAAAAAGTGAGGCAGCGTACTATCTGACTTGTGTCTGTCTGTCTTTGTTCTCACTTAGAAATGTGTTTCAAAATTGATTTTTATTTTGTATTTTTTTACCAGCAGGGCAACGGACCATCGACCACCACCAAACATATAAAGATCTCCAGGAATAATAAAGTTGTCTGTATACTGGCACTGTAGTCTTGCAGGAATTACAGAGCTGCAAAACAATGAGAGGTTTTTTGTTGAGCAAAGAACACCCAACTTCTGAGGACCTTGTCAATCCCCCTTCCCTTTACACACACACATGCACACACACACACATTCACACACACAGCAGAAGACCCTGTCACTCCCTGACACAAATTTAACAACCCCCCCCCACACACACACAAACACACAAACACACAAACACACACACAAAAACAGACCACCATAGCCCTCTATGCTTCTGTGGAGGTATAACAGTGTAACAACAAAAGGCATTATAGCATAGTGGCATTCTGCCTATTACTAATCCTAATGACAAACAAAATTAAAACTACTTCTTTACAACCTCCAAAATTGGTCTTTGATGGTCAAAGATGCTTCTTATTGCATCCAATCAAAGGTGACTACATTAACACTACAGCTTCACCTCAGGGAGAAGAGAAATGCTTGTTTTGATCAGAATTAAACAGATGAAACAATCAAAATAAGAATCACTGCAATGCACAGGTCCAGAGCTGCACACTCTCTATCAGCATTAGTAGAAACATAGCAATTTATATACAAATGATTTTATATACAAATGATGAACAGATGCATTTTTACATTTTACTTAAAATGAATATTAAACCAAGAGGGAACCACTAAAGAATGTGTGCTAATAGTGACAATACCTTCACTAGCTATTGGCTCATAAGCCCATTGCTTTATATTTTGTATAGCTCCAATTCACATACAATTCTATGTAACAACATTCTATGTTCAGCAGCCAAAAACACAGTGTCTATGCCTCAAATGATTTTGTAGCATGTTCACAGAGCGGCAGGGCCATTTACAAACAGGTACTGCAGGTAGAGCTGAGTCTAAGAGAACTGGCTATATTTTTAAGGCAACAGTGACATCTTGTGGACATCTGCAGACATTTCATTCCAAGACCCAGGGATGCAACTTTCTATAGCAATTGAGTGTTGCTTTTATCAAAAACAATGGCAAACTCAAGTCTTAGTGTCCTTCACAGACAGTATACAGTATGTTTTGTATTCAACAATAATGGATTTTTCTATGTACCTCAGTAAAGCAACCAAAATCCAGTCTAAAGTGTCTAAACAATAAAGAGTAGGGATGGGAATTAAACCCCACTATTTTTAAAAAAAGTGTCATTAGCACAGACTACCATAAACTGTCAAGTACCAAAAGTTGATTAATCAGATTTTTAGACTGATTTAAGCTTCTTTAGGCTGCTCGTGTTAGACAATTTAACATTTAAAAGGTTTGGCATCTTTTGTTAAATAAAATATGTTTTGTACAAAAACACATTTTCAAGGTATCTAACAAACAACTGTATTGATATTGGTTAAGACAAGTATCGTATTGGCAACAGTAGTGAATATTTTCAGACAATACCCAGCTCAACTTAAACTACTCACAAAATGTTAGGGATATTCCACTTTCGGGTGAAATTTATGGAAAATGTAAAAAGTTGATGCTACAGTGATATTATATCATGAAAGTAGGGCATTTAAGTAGAAGGTCAAATTAAGATCACCTGGAAAGGTTATAGTGCATTTTATGTACATTCTGAAATTTCATCCGAAAGCCGAATATCGAATATCATATAGTGTAAGAGTAAATTTAACTGTAGACAGTGCAGATATCTGCACTTCCAGGTACCACATCTGTAAAAAGAGGTTATTTTATAAGCACTTCAGCCACTTAACCACATTAACTAGAAGAACACTTCTTTACAAATGTCTTCCTAGGAGGATAAGTAGGCAGTAAGCGATGCTAATGACAGCAATGACAACCATGATGATGGTATCTGACACTCATGATGACAAGTCATTTTTGCCTTTGACACTAGAAGGTAGAGAGATGACAGGAAGAGAGGGGAGGGGAGGAGGGCTGACATGCAACAAGAGTCCCACTGGACTTAAACTGAGGGACCCCTAATTTACCAAAACGCCTCCAAATGGTGCCAATATGTTAAGAATGATACTGAATGATAGACTTTTTGTTTATACGGCATTGTGTGGGGAGGGGATGAAAAGAAGAGGCTCCCAACCAAAATGCAGATGCAAACAGAATAACATTAAAACCACTAACCAAGTATGAGAATAGGGTCTTCCTTCTTGATGTGTTTTTCCAGAATGTGGTGGAATTTGGAGAAGTTGCCCAACCAGTCATAAGACTGCTCTGTTTTATATCTTTCATCCCAGTAGTCAACATCTTTGTACCTGGAGTTGTCATCTGGCACGTAGTCCATATTCTCTGTGACATGTAAATGAGACAGAAACCATCAAAATATTATCCTTTTCAGAATAAAACCGTTTTAAGTGCACTCATTGTGCCTGTAATTTTACCAGCTCTGATACAGGAACTGTCATAACATGCACTGATATTATGGTCTAATTATGCCGTCATTTCAGACATTCAGAGAAAAATGTTCGTAATACAAACCCATCAGAGGTAAGGTAACTTCTAGTGACCTATCAGGAGTAGAAAACTCAGTCAGACATTAATCACATCGAATATTTTGGTAATCGATTAACCCTTTTAAGTGACTTTTTAATGCCAAATATTCCCTAGTTACAGCTTCTCAAATGTGATGATTTTCTGGTTCTCTCTGTTTCATATCATCGTGAATTGAATATCTTTAGGTTTAAGGTTGCAGGTCGGATAAAACAAGTAATGAATGATGATGAAATTGTGTTGGCTGGTTTAAAAAAAATCAACTAAATAATTAGTTAGCAAATCAGCAGGGCTGCACGATTAATCAAAATATTATCGAAATAACGATATGGCCAAGTGTTCATCATTCCCACTAATCCTGAATCAGACAGGCCTACAAATTAGTCAATAATAAAAAAGTCACTGTTGCACCCCTAAATATATTTATAATATATTGTTTTTTACAAGCTTATACGGATACAGGTTTGAACATCTGTTTTACATAACCTTACTTTATCTCATGTATTTTATTATCTTTTAAGTATCCATGTTTAAGCCTGTGTGTGTACTGTCAATGGTGCTGTCACTATTCTCTCTGTATTTCTCCTCAGGGACAATAAAGTTGACTTCTTTGAATATTTTCAGACAGGTCAGAACCATACTGTCAATGGTCAAAACAAGAAATTCAAACTTTTCCACGTGTGTGATTTTAATTCCTAAATATTAAATATTTTTCTGGCTCTTCTTCGTCGCTTATTGACATCACTGTGACATCACTGTGACATCACTGGGTTGGTTCAGTGCTGCCACTAACGGTCGGAGGCTGTATTGCTAACTAACTTACAACTGTAACGTTAGCTTGCTAGCTTTTCTTCCGACAGCCCTATTATATTAATATAACGTTATACACAACCAGCCGACATCGTTTTGTCTCCTTAAGACTCCGTAATGATGGTTACTGGGAAGTTTTACCTTGTAACGTTGACTATGTGGCTATCAAACAACAAGCTAACCGTTAACCTATAACGTTAGATATATAACAGTTCTTATAACATAACGTTATCTATGGTCGTAATGCCGTGGTACTAAGGTGAGTGTAGGGGAAGCTGGCACAAGCGTTAAGTATTGAAACATACCTGTTGTGGATTTTAACACAATATGCACACAATAAGCTGATTTGTGTTAGGGTTGTGTGGCGCTCTTGAACCTGCCTCACATGCGCATGCGGGGATGAACACCGTCCAGCTGTTGCAGCCAATTCAGTTACAGTTCAGTTACAGTTCAGTTAGTTGATTTCAGACTACAAACACAGAATAGACTTTGCGTTATTATTTAATAAGCTACTCACCAATTCCTAGTGGCAGTGTCAGTGGCTGTGTTATCAGTAAAAACGCCGGTTCGTAACTGTGAGTAAATCCACGTGTTCACAGCATTAAAGCTGCAGTGTCCCAAACACAGAGTGGGTACTGCAGACCCATCTACAACTCAACAAACTACAGAAAAAGACCTGTCTACAACCTCAGGGTCCTTAGTATTAGTTTGAAGAAAGACATGTTTCCTTGTTGTTGTCTTTCTCGGTCTACAGTGGATGTTTAAGAGAAGGCGGAGCAATATTGTTTAACACTTTCGTAGCCTACACGTGCTGCTGCTTTCAAATCCTTTTCAAACTCTTTAATGCATCCAAACGACCTTTTAGTGAGACAGATGCTCTAACAAAATCTGGTTCTCTCTGATTTTCTTTTTAGTTTACCAAAATAAAACCCAAATACACGTCAAAGAATAAGGGGGAACATTAATTTATTGTTTTAAATGTTTAGTTAGTATGGTGCACTCCTTTACCACCTTATATTAGGCATGTTTTTTAGTTCTGAAGCATATTTTGATTTTGGACTGTTGGACAAATCCAATTAAAGATCTCACATGGAGCCCTTTCTTTGTTTTGGTTTTTGTTTGGTTTGATATTTACAATTTAAATGATTAATATAATAATTGATAATAAAATAATATAATAAAATTAAGAAATAATAATTTCTAGGCTATAAAATTTTATTTTGAGCCAAATATTTATAAACTTAAAGTACTACTAGGAGGTCTACAGTGTGTTATGTTTATTTTATTTAAGTTATAGGCGTACATTGAATAGGTAACAAGTTAAACTCAAACCACATGTACAGTCAATCTACAGTAACAGCTGCACAATCAGATGTGGAGATTTGTAGCACGTGAAAAAAAAGTGCTAAAACTGCTAAAAAAAAAAATAAAAATAGAACTGCATACAGCCTGAACATATTACATTGTCTGCTATGTAATATAGTGTGGCTGATTACAGCAGTTTAAGAAGCATTTTGCTAGTGAGTATCCCAGCTGCTAGGATAAGCACCATGATCAGCAAAGTCAGACCGTGACGTAACACCAGCTGCCTGACCACCAGGGGCCATGGCACTGCAGCATCGGCTGCATGATCACGGCCCGGACAGTGCACCTGCAGGTTACAGTCCTCCTGGCTCAGGACGTAAGATGATATGACGTTGAACTGGGACTCTCTGTGAGCTATAGGGGCATGTTCCAATCAGAGAGGGGTTAGTTGTTCATGATGTGCACAGGGATGTGACTGGAGGGCACGCAATGTAAAGGAGAAGTGAAGCAAGCATTTATTTTCCCTTCTTTTGTATTGCCAGCACTTCTTTCTTTTCTGGACTGCTGCTCTTACCACTGGAAATACATATTGCTCATCTACACAGACATGGACTATTCTGAAATTACTGCAGTTACTTTTTAAGTTAGTAATTACAGATCACATTATTTAAGATGTTAGTGTTGTTCAGTGTCATTTCCTACTTGTGACTGTAGAGGGCAGGAAAGACCAGGGAATGTGAGTGCAAGGTTACTCAAAGTGGTGGCTCTGCTGGTTTTGGCCTCATAACTACAAATTGTTCTTACTGTAAACCTCTTCCAAAGTACAACTCAGTCAGTTGCTTTTCACAAATGCTTTTTTTGAAACAGCTTCTAAGTTAAAAATGTGATGTGTCCAAATCCAAGCTGAGACTTTAAAGGCTCCCTGCAGAACCTCAGGAGATATCATGCGACTTGAAGTAGTTTAGTTCTACGTGAAACTTTTCTGGTAACCTCAGTGGTGTATTGTCCTAATTTGAGTCTAAGATAAAGAACCACAGAAGTGTGTAGAGTAGCAGTACATTATTCTAATCAAATGTGTACCTTTAACAGTGGAGTGAGGTTTTAAACCTAGCTCCAAATTGTTCTTTATGTTGCACTCTTGTAGTAAAACACTGAAATTCTTTATCATTATCTGTCATTTTTCATCCACTTATAAGATGCGGCCCCTCACCACAAGACTTTAAAGTTACATGGCAGTGTCAATAGCTCTCCCACGATGACCATTATGGCAGCAAACATCAGGCACAGGCACCCCGGGCAGTGATATCCCGCCATGTTACAGATGGCAACAATCTTTGTTTTCCCTGTTCCTCTTATAATGCTAATTACATTAGGAGCAGAAATGCACAATTTATGCAAAGACAGGGTGGATTTCATGTTTCTTTGTGTGCTTCTATAATGTTATATTGTATGAAATAGCACCTTATGTAAAGTTTTTGTATTGTATTGTAGGTTTTGAATGCAGGGTGCAGGACTGTGTTGGTGCTTGTACTTGTAAGTTCTAAATACTTCTTCCATTCCTGGCCTTTTGGACACAAGTGCATACAAGAAACAAATACATATACCCACAGTTGAATTACATTAAAAGTTTACTGTGCAGGACAGTGATGTTATATTTCCTCCTCCAGATGGTAGTATCACACTACTATTTTTAACGTTTTACTTTCTGGGTAATGTTCAGTAACTGCTGTCAGAAATTCAATGATAACCTATCAGTAGCCATCCTGTTTCATTATCTGTTGTTGAAACATTGCCTGCAGCCAGTGTTTCTGGCTCACATTGGCAATCTCACTACAAAACCTGTGTCATCTATCACTGAAAGTTGTGGAAGCGAGAGCAGAGCGATCCTGAACCAGGAGAGCTGAACCTACGATTAAGATGATTTATGTGCTGTAAGTTCCCGTTCATCTTCTTCGACAAGAGTTTTCTTTTTTTGGGTCAAACCCACGTAAGTGGTTCTTAAACTGTTGTGCTGCCTTCCTGTGAGAGGCTAATCTCACCTCCTTCTCTGTGAAGAGCTCACAGAGGGAAGTTCTTATGCCTTTGGTGCATCAAGTGCCATTATGTCAACTTAATGTATATCCCTCCATTTCACACTGGCTGAACTGTAATCAACAGTAATCCAGCATTATGGACAAATAATCGGTTATCTCTGAAGAACCACTTCAGAGTCTCTTCATCTGTTTCTTATACCACTTGAAAGGTAGACTGCACTTGTTCCTAGGCATAATGTTGGATTTGGTGGCTCAGTGTGCTAAGATATGATGTGTTAATGGTGTCAGGCTTTGGAGTTTATTCTGTTCTTATATATTTTTTTTTATTTGTCTGTTTAAATTCGATAAATCCTCCAGAGAGCTTACTGTGCCGAGAAGGAGTATCAGCTACCAGCTCTTCAATCTATATCAACAAAGGACCAATGTAGCCGTTTTTCTGCAAGGACAGAAAAATACAAACTCTGTCGGTTTATAAAGTCTGTCACGTAGGCTAACCTGCGATGGGCCCTACAAGCCTCAAACCCACGCAGCACATTCCCCTACTTCTTAAGATAAATAAACTCTTGAAAATACACTTGGATTAACTGGAAAAAGCTTTGTCACAAAGCTGAAAACAGGGCTCTCATCTCATGACTTTTTAGAGATACGTGGTTCTCACAGGACAGCAATATGACTAACATAAGATGATCCTATACAATATGATGCATTGCTGTAGATTAAACAACCCAACAGTATGTAAAGTTAAAATCAGCTCAACCGTTATATATATATATATATATATATATATATATATATTAACATCTACAGCCAATAAGTGCAACATACACATGAATGCAGCAGTAACATTAATTCTAAAACATATATAGTAGTAAAATACTAACAATATTACTGCATTAGGCCATTAGTACTTAAGTAAAGGATCTGAAAACTTCTTCCACCACTGATTACTAACAAGGGCTCTGTTACACAATGCCAGGACCCTGAAGCTGAAGCAGCTAAATGGAATTCAACCATCAGTCATTTTATTGTTTACACCTGTGTTTTCCCTACTGTGACATATCAAAATGTTTAATGTAGGGCTATCATTGTTGTTCTCCTTCATCATAACTTACTGTTAATCCTAATATCTGTAGCAGGCTGTAAAAACTCATCATACAAGCTTTGCTTTAAATCTGATGACCTCCGTGGAAATGAAGCAGGTTGATGCAACACATGGGAAAGAGGAAACCTGAAATCCTCCACACATTCTCCAGCTGAGGGGTTGGAACTATCCAACCAACCTCCTCTATACTGTATACGCTGCATCATAATTATGTAACCCTCAGTATAGTGGCAACAGTTAAGTAGCCACAATATCAGTGATGGCAAGTGGAAAGGCATAAAACATCTCTGGGTGACGCTTTGAATCACACATGTGTCTGGGTGCAGAGGAGGAGAGTGAGCATCGTTTTTCCTTTTAAATTTTGAGACCGATGCGGACACTCGGGATCCGTTTGGAGATGCGGAGAATAATTTGCCACAGATTCCTCTGCATAGTGGAGGAACTATCACAGACCACGTGAGAGGAATATTTAATGACGGTCCCCCGACAGCCCGGTTCATCTCTTGCTGGCTCTCCTCTGCTGCTGACATGGACTCTTGGACATTGTATTTTTTAAGCTTCCCACAAACGGACGCGGAGGGAGGGCGAGACTCAGTCTGAATGTAACCTTTGATCTTTTTGCTCTTCTTTTTTCTGTTTGATTTTTTTTTTTCCTTCTTCTTCTTCTTTTTCTTCTTCTCTCCTCCACAAGTCAAACAGTTGTTTTTCTTCGGGGTTGGGGGGTGGTATGGCTTGGCCGTGCATCAGCAGAGTGTGCTGCCTGGCTCGCTTCTGGAACCAGTTCGACAAATCGGACCTCTCCGTCCCGCTCACCATCCAGAACTACTCGGACATTGCCGAGCAGGAGGTGCGGTCCGTCACCAAACAGGTCTCCGCCTCGGAGCGCGCACCCGGGAATAACTACTCGACCCCCGACCTTCGTGCTGCCGGCTCCCCTCCGGCACCCGCAGACGGCCAGGGGACCCGAGGATCTTTCAGGGCACGAAAGGAGCCCAGTTACAAGCCCCGGGAGGACTACCACCCGCCCGGAGTGCCTTTCCCCAGCGTTACTCAGTACAAGCAGGATTTCAAACCCTGGCCCATTCCTAGGAAGGAGAATTTCCCTTGGATTAGTAATGGGGGCAGCAGGGCGGACAGTGTGTCGGACAGCCCGGTGAACAGTTACCACGGCCAGGCTCAGCCCGGGGAGAGAGAGGAGCGGGGCAGGGGGCAGAGGTGGGGGGAGCAGGAGGGGATGGAGGAGAGAAAAACCAGCTCCTACAGGTAGGACATCTTCTTTCACCCGTTTCAGCACCTGTCGCTGTCCACTCCATCTCACCATTGGACCAGCTGGGAAGAACTGGTGATGTTGATTCCTGCTTTGATCCTTCATTAGATGATTAACCTCCAGGGTCAACAGCCTGCATGGAGATAGGGGTCATTAATAATTCTCTCATGTTTATATATGGGAAAGCTCAAGTATGAATATTTGATTTTATGTGGGCAGGGAGTATAGTTAGTCAACCTCTTTGACTTGTTAGTCTGCACACAGAAGAAATGTTGATTTACAACCCCCTGTTGTACAAGTAGCTACCTGCAGAGTGATGTTCCTTTCTCAGATTGATGGATTTGAATAGATTTTAGAGGCCTGAACAAGTTAAACTGTCCAGCGAAAAATAGAGGAAAAGAAGAAAGAAATACAATTTCTGCATTGGAAATATTTGTCTTGACCCTTTGGGTGATACTGACCTCTAGGTAGAGTTATTAACATAATCTAAAAGTAAATAAAAGGGAATTCTGGTCATTTAGTGTTGCATATTCATAAAGTTGCAAGAGAGAAAAAAAGGGTCCAAATCAATGCATAATGGGTATCACATCATCAGGGTTATTTTCTCAGACTTTAGGAAGCTTTTTCCCCAAAACCACAGAAGACATTTTCACAGGGTGAATGCCCCTTTAAGTATTTATTTTTTCTGATGCTATATGCATAGAGTCAACGTCATTGTTAAAGCTATGTTAATCAGTGCTGGGTCCACACTGCAGCCACGGCACATCAAAAACAAGCCTGATCCAAACTTTCAGCCGGTACTGAATGTAATCCACAGAGTGTCTGTCAGCCTACTGATGCATTTGTCTTTTGTCCAGGCAAGAGTACAGGCCGTGGACGGGGGCGAGACCGGCCAAAAGTGCTAGGAGAAACCCTCCAGCTCAATACTCCAGCCCAGGGACAGAGGCCACCCACGTCCCACGTGAGACCAGCTACCAGGCTGCCTACAATGGGGAGGGCCAAAGATCTATAGGGCTGCATCAGGGAGAGCACATCATCCCGACTGCCAGCACCAATATACAACCTGCTGCTGTCCCCCAACCAATCCCCACTGCCCTGCAGGGCAGCAGTTCACCGGGCCCCTCCGGCCTCCAGCAGAGCATCCTGCCCGAAAGGGCCGAGTTCAGTGGAATGACCAAGGGAGAGGTAAGCACAGGTGGCAATGTTGTTTGCCAGTGTCCGGCATTCAACTGGAGGAGCAATGTAATGTACATTACTGAACCAGCTGCAGGTTCAAAGAGTTCATTGGAAGAGCTACAGGTTTAAATTGCAGCTTGCTCCCCCTGAAAGTTATCTTCACTCATCTCCCTGGTGGCCTGTTGCTGTAGGAGCGTCTCAGAAAAGTGATACAGCATTCTGTCCCTAAGCAGCTCAAAGTGACCCAGCTGTTTAAAGCAGGCCATGTACTGTGTTAGGTAACACTCTGCTGGTGCTACACTCATTACTTTGACCTGAATAGAGATGGTGCTTGATGAGAACGAAAAAGTAAATGGGTAATTTTCCAACTGTGGTCCATTTTGGGCAGAAAATGTGGACAAATATATTGATGTCTTTCTAAGAATAATTTCTTATCATGGCTGCACTGAAATACTTGATTAGTTAATCATTCTTGTCATTTTATTCGAACATTTAAAGGGAATCATCCTTACTTAAAACAGTAATTCAAATCTTATACAATTATAATTTGTATTTGGAGTCTAAATTATGAGTCAAATGTTTTTTCTGGCCCAGAGACAATACATAAAGAATCTTTAAAATATAATTAAATTTACATTGTCAAAGACATCAAAGGCAAAATGGCAACAAGTACCCAAATATCCACACAACTGTACATCTTGTCCCAGATTTCTGCTGCTCTTAGACATGATGAGACAGAAAGATGGGCACACAAAGAACCAGATTTACAGTCTGATTGAAACAGAACTAACAGCAACAAGGAGAGAGGATTTACTCAGGAAGCTGCAAACACATCGGTTCACTCAGGTTGTTCCAGATTATCGTAGGATAAACTGGGTGAGGGGACATATGCACCCTTTCCCCTCCCCTGCGTTCTGTTGCTCAGGTCAGCTGTTGCGTGACAGTAAGTGAGACAATTTTTTGGGAATCTCCAGAGGTTTAGTGCCATCCCTCTTCCCCGCCCACACCCCTCAGTGCCATCTGCCAGTGGAGAGCTGGGGTCTGGTCTGGGCTGGGCCGGTTTGTCTGCTGTCCCAATAAATCTCACACTGAAAGGTCTCTGCGAAGGTTAGAAAATATACTTTTGTGTTTGCAGGGCTGTAGCTACCACTGAGGAAACGGAGGTCCTTAGTATTTAGGAACCTGGGGGAAGTTTATATTCCACTTTAGTGGTGGATTCCAGTATTTTTTAGACTTTCAATTTAACTTATTTTTGGCTAATAAATAAATAAAGGATTCATTATTTTCTAGAATTTTATTTCTGGAAACGATCACGCTCGATAGCTAGTCAAATTCTCCCACTTCTCCAGCTAATTAAAGCCCACTGCATCTGAAAAATGCATTGTCCCAAGGCTTAAAACATGGCTGTGACTCTTGTGAGAATCTTGTGAGATGCAGACATTTGGAAAAGACGTGGTTTTCAGAGGACACAGATGTTGGGAAATACAATCTGCAGAAGATACAGCAGAAATTCACAGAATAAATAAAATCTTAAAATTAAAATAATAAAAGGGACTTTCTTTTTGGTGTTATGTCAAGTTTTTCAAGGTGTGGTGGGGGCTTGTGTGTCTGTGCTCTCAGTCACGCAACTACAGAGGTTTAGCAAAAAGTGGTTAATGCATGAGAGGGAAAAAAATAACCCAGTTATTTGCATAATTTTCTGAATAATGACGGCTCTATTAAGCCATGATGTCCCTGAGTATCCTGTGTGATGGAGATGGAGGTCGAAGTGAGAGATGTCAATGGCAGGACGCGGACTCTATTAATAACACTGGCCCAGTTGGAGTGAGAGTTCACGGCACATTAAGGGATGTACTGCTGGCAGTATGTTCGGATGTAGGACTGAACACTGCAGTCGATATTATACACACACACACACACACACACACACACAAGCACATGCACACTCGCACATATGCATGTTTGCAGTGCAGTTTTTCGGTTATACCACAATCTGCCCGTGTGACACAAACCAGCCTGGCAGCAAATCAAGTTGATCTTAGATAATCCACCCCGATCACCCCCGGCCCACTCACTGCCAACTCATTATTGACTCACCAGCCCCCTGCAGAGGTGTCTGACCAAGCATTACACATCCCACTCCAGTATGCATTATAGTGGGTCATGGCACTCTGCTGGTATTTGTCTGTGAGGGCAATCTCAGTTTGTGATGCCACTGTAAAATACACGACTGCACCAGCAGACGAAGTGCCCTCATTCTGTGTGGAGCACAACAGGCTGACTGTATCTATTCATTAAAAGATTTAATGGTTAAGTCCCAAATAAGCTGCTGACATCAAAATCAATCTGCTCTTGATGATAAAGGAGTTGGGCAGCCATGAAATTCTCATTACGGCTCAAATCAATCTGTCAAATTGTCTGCTCCCCCACCTATAATACATTAAATCCATCTCAACAGATGAAAGATGTCACTAATTTGATGACACGCAGCAGACAATTGACCGATTAGAACAACTGATGCTTTTCATGATGTGTGACTCGCTGAACTTGCAAACCTAAATTAAAACGTCCCAGCAAGCTGTCAGATGAAAGAGGGAGCCTATGTTGAACCTGAAACCCGGCTTGTCCTCCTTGTCCGGCTTAAATGAGTGCAGCCCTGAACTCTCAGCACAGTGTGTGTGTGTGTGTGTGTGTGTGTGTGTGTGGAATCAAGCCTGGCAACCACAGCACAATGCAAACAGATTTGGGAGGATGGGGTTGTATAATCCGGAGTGTGTGTCGGGGATGAGCAAGACAAAACCCCTGAATGGGGAACACATTTAGCATGCAGAGTAGAAACCTCTGCAGGAAACTCTTGTTATGACAAATTCTTGGTTGTTTTATAGTCAGCTTAGAGGCAGCAGCCCCCCCCTCCGAGGTTTGGGATTGTGCTCTCGGAGCTCACGGGCAACCCTGCTTAACTTCTGAATACAATGTAATACAGCACTGTGTTTTTGTATGCTGATATAGATGCAGAGGGATGTAACTGTATGGAAAGGATAGAAAGTCTGCAGGGACAATGCAGCCTAAAATTCACTATCCTGTTGCCTCCTTTGTCTCTGTCTCTCCATTTAGCCAGGAGCAGGGCTGGAGGGTGGCCTGGTACCCCCTAGAGTCAGAAGGTGATAGGTAGTTGGCTTATTAGAATTAGAATCATGGTTAAGGTTACTTTATTGTCACTCATAGAGAAAGTTGTTTTGGGTTCAGGGAACTGCTGAATCAAAACCAAACATCACAATAGAAAGTGACCTGAGATAAAATAACTAAGCAAAGCCATTCACTCCAATAAAAATGACAAAAATGTGTCTCTTTCAGTCTGGGGGTCTAGCTCCCACATACGTATGTCGGAGGGGTGGGGGTGCCTTTTACAAGTCTGTGCCCAGGGGGCCTATTGTCTCATAAACTGGACATAGCTATTTATTGATAATATTTCCTATTAGAATATCTACAGTTATTTGGCAATTTATTCGCCTGAATACATAAAACGACTATTAATAATGTCTTGAGACATTTTTATTCGTGTGTGACCTTTAAGACCAAAAGTTTCTAAACCCGACCCTGCCTTTACCCCATCATTCCTTCATCCATTGTTTTTCTCTTTCTCCTCCTTTCTCTTTCCTTTCCCCTGTTTATATGCATCCCCCAAGCCAGGCTTTCTCCCTTTCTTCCCTTTCGCCTGTTCTCTCACTTGGACCTCTTCCCTTTCCCACGCTGCCCGGGACTACAGAGGGAAAGTGCTGTGCCAAGTTGGCAGGACTCTGGCACGGAGGAGAGGATTGTATTAAGAGCAGTGGAAAGGCAAAAGAAGGTTGGGGGAAAGGAGATAAAGTTGGGCAAAAAGATGAGGAGAGAGAGAGAGCGAGAGAGAGAAATGTGATGCAGCATGTAACAGAGAATCAGAGAGGAGTGGGGGAGGGGGTTCGTGAGCGCCATTTGATGGATTATCTGTTAAAGCGCGATGTTGCACCGGGTTGCAGTCTTGTTTGGCACCAATCTAATTTAGGAGAGAGGCAGACCTGGCTGCTGCACAGAGCACAGAAGCCGGAGTGTGTGCATGCGTGTGTGCGTGTGTGTGTGTGTGTGGGGGGGGGGTGAATACACTCACACACCAATCTGACTTGATGAACAACATGTACTGCCTTCCCCGCCACCCACAGCGCTGCACAGCAACAAAAAAAAGTCCTGCTGGGACAGCAGGCTGTCAATCTCTCTGAAGACTTCAAGGCCACACTCCACAGCTATTCAAGTAAACTGGAATAGGCTGGCCCATTTTTATTGACGGATCCAACAATTGCTAGACGGAACAGAATATGGTAGACTTTTATTTATTCGCCACAGCCCAGATAGATGCTGGTCAGGCTTTAAGAACAGCTACCAACAGCACAAAGCAGGAAGTAGCAGGACAGCCCAGACTGCTGGCGCGCTGACAGCAGACCTGATGCTTTGTGACGGCACGGCCCAACCAGTCTCCTCTCATTTCATGGGTCCAGTGTGAGCACCACAGCTGCTGCCCTCTCTGGTTTCATCACTGTGATCACCTTAAAAGCTGCTGTTATACCCATATCTCTCTCTCTCTCTCTCTCTCTCCCCCTCGTCTCTCTCAGGAACATCTGGTGAGGACCAAGCTCCCTCCGAACCCTTCTGCCGTCTTTCAGGGTGGATCGAGGGTCTTCAATATCTGACGGCTGCTCCAGTTTCCAACCATTCCACTTTGATCGGTTTCAGTTTTAAGGAATCAACAGGGGAATGATTTCAGTCCATTCCACACAACACAAGAATCTATGCAAGGGAATGTATTGTTGTGAAGCCTGTGGAGCTGCAGCGTCAGTATCCCAAGTGGAGACAGATAGACAGACAGACAGACAGACAGACAGACAGACAGACAGACAGACGCCCCCCCAATCCACCCCACCCTTTTACGCTCCTTTCTGCCCCTGTTGCTATGGAAATGAATATGCATGTAATAAACTAGTTAACAAGCTTTTTTTTTTTTTGGTTTTGCAGTTATAGATGCACAAGAAACTGGCTACTCTGTGTGTGTGTGTGTGTGTGCGCGCGCACCTGCTGATTCGTCCTTTTGTTGTACATAATGCTGAGTCTGCTCCAATAACGAATGACTTGGTTGATCATTAAGTGCTATGTTGCCCCCTTGGTGTTGCTAGAAATCTGCTTGAAAATACACTATTTATTTCCTCAGTATTCAGTTAGTTTGCTATTTTGAGAAAGTTTTGTTGGGTCTATTATTTTGTAAATCTATTGTTCAAGAAAAAGAGCAAATATATAATGTAAGTGAAAACACAATAAAAGAATATTAGGTTCTTAGCACTTTCTATTAGATGTCATTTTTTTGCTCAGCTGTATTTCTTTTTTTTGTATCACACAGTTCTGGGTGTTATTAGTCATTTAGAGATTGTATGAATAGAGCGCTAATTGTGATCAACTGCTATTATACCAAAGGTCAGCTAATGTAAAAAATCTGAAAGGTGTCATATTTTCCCTAAAAATTACAACAGACAAGCAATTTGACGTAGTAAGTATAATTATGCCAGTAACAAACTGCATCTTGGCTGGCTTGTTCTCTTTCTATTCAGTGCTCATTGTTCAGTGGGTCCCAACAAGAAAAAAAAAAGCATATTTTGTTTCTTATTTTTGGTAGTGGGGGCTTGCTGTGTGGATAGTTTTCATTTTTATCTCACCAGCTTTATGATTTTGGCTGCGAAGAAAAATAACGGAAACAGTGAATGGAAATTTTCTTATTGGTTTTCTTTCTGTCTGGGACTTGGAGAAGTTGACAAGCTCAATACCGCTCACACAGAATGAGTGGTACTGATCTCATCTAACTAAGAAAGCAAATGATAAAGCAAATTTCTTCCAAATAGTTTCACCTGCATTGTCTCTTTCAAGAAATACCTTAGATGATCCACAAACCTCTTCAGTTCCTTAGTCTTTAAAAGACTAGTTCTTTTGTAGAAAGTAGTTCTTATGAGAATCCACAGCAAGATCTGAAGATCACCCAGACTAGCTTCTGACAGAAATAATCTCAAGAGAGACATGTTTTAAAATCCGGCCAAATAAAACCAAAACAATCTGCATGGCTAGATACCACTGGAGGTTAGGTGAGAAAATGTGTTTATGCAAGTTGGGTGAACTGACCCTTTAACTCTCGAGCATAACAGATGTCTACATCTAACCAGGGATTAGTTAGAGATACTCCATAGTCTCTCCATCCTGATTGTGTTAATCAAAAAACACAAACATGCTGAACACGAGACACATTTGCAAGAAATAATTCAACCAGAGTTTTTCTTTGTTTATTACAAGAATATTGATTATATTTTTGGTTTGCACTGAAACATGAAAATACAATGTTTGGGTGTCTTCTAAACTAATTTGGTTGAACAAGCATCACAACCACTCAGCCCAAACACTTCCACTCGTCCAACTGTCCACACATTAACATAATGCAAAGATCCACATGAAACAGAATTACCAACACGACATCAGCCGACGCGACACGCACGAGCACTCACTTCCTATCCAATTCATTAACGTATTGTGATGACTACATCCACTATTCACACACTCTCTACTGTTGGGGCATTACTGTTCGCTGTCATTATTATTAGATAAAAAAATAAAACAGGATTTGAAAACACCATCTATTTTCATATTGGTCATACACACTGTGTACATTACATTATTGATACATTATGGTTATTAAACAGAACACTTAAAAAGCACTTTCAACTGGCTATCAAACCTGGTTTGGGAGGGAGAGAAGATAAATATTGAGAGTGAGAGTGAATTCATAATGACAGTTCTGATGAAAATCTCAACTTAAAAATAACAAACATTAATCGGTCGCCTCTTCTGAACAGCTTTAGAAAACAGCCGTATTGCAAGAGCCATGATTACCTCTGCCAGGTAACACTGAAATATATCAAAGCATGTTTGTAATGACGGATCATTGGTTGCCATGGCAATAGCACTTTTGGAAGAATCTCTCTGTTTGCTTTGCCCAAAGTAAGTAGACATTACCATCACGTGGACTGATAGAGAATTCTAATACTCAGATGTTCATCAGCGTTTCCAACTACCTCTGCTGGTAAACTGAATCTTGATCCCAGTTCAGGGAAAATGACAGCAGGATGAAGAAGAAGAGGGGACAGCTGTCTGATGTTGTTGTTTAGCCCTGTAAGTCACTCAGGCTTAATTTCCTTGCCGACTAGCTGGCCGTCTGGCAGGAAACACTTCATCATTAAAATAATTTTGTTATGAGGTAAGCAAGAGCACGACAGCTCCTCAAAATCAAATAACACAAGTCCCACAATGCCGCTTCTCTTGATATATGAGGAGTAAAATGTTACAATATACCCCGAGTATTAGAAACATTTGTTATTCCGCTGCTGTGTGGCTGCTGTGAGAAGCAAGCTGAGCCCTTCTATGATCAAGTTAATGAATACAGTACATTAGTTATTACTGCTCAACCTGAGGCAACAGACTACATCAAGGTGTGAATCTTCACACAGTAGAGCTGTCGGTTCACAGAGTGTTTCTGTCACAACCAGCCGTTCAGACAGTCGTCACATCTCTGTATGAGTCAGTTACCAGTCAATGTCATTCTCATTATGCCTCAGTTGTCCTTCGACAGGTAACCCATGTGTGTGTTGGTGAGGAAGTCACAGGTGGGGATGCTACCAACCGCCTGATGGATGTTCATGGCTGTGATCTCTCTCGGAGCCCTGCAAACGCCAATGTTACAAAGTTAAAGTTTAGTCTCACTCACTGGTCGGCTTCTGAATATTTATGATAGATATTAAGTGCGTTGTAGAATATTCAACTCTGAAACTGAGGTCTGGTATATCAGTTCAGACTGTCTTGCATCATGCAAATGGCACAAAACACAAAGAATACTCTGCAGGCAAGGACAGAAGAATCTACTCATGTTTAACTGTATAATGACTGGTTCCAAAACAAACAAATGTGCAATTCCTTGGTTTTTGCATGCAAATACTTAGGTAAGCTGGTCCAAAAGATGGCAGATGTTACCAGTATTTGCAGATGTATTACATCAAAAGCACAAAACACACTGCTGTTTTTTTGAAAATGCTTGTAAATAAATGTAATTTTAAATAATAAATAATTTTTTACTATTGCTAATGATAGAAATCATACATGAACTGATCATCACTTCAGAAAATCTAATTTATTTCCGATGTCTTTGGTAAGTGATCTCATACGCAGTCACTGGATCTCTTTGCATTAATTTTTAAATGGATAAGGCTGGCATTATTACGTTTTTTTATACCATGAAAAGAACAAAACCAACAATGAGTCTGTCTCTTAATACTTTCCTTCCCTACCCTGTCCTACCCCAAGCCCATTTTTTTCTATTAAGAAGGTGTCACTTTTAACAAAACAGCTCACAAATATATTGTTTAATTTAGAAAAAGGCTAAATAATTTCCTAGAACAGCTAGGCACTGTAGTTTTGTCACCAAACTCAAAAAGGAGTATCTGGGACTATTTCCAGCTGCGGATTAATATACATTTGGCACTCTAGCAAGTATTTGTCGTACTGCTGCAGTGCCCATGGTCACTATATGATATAACGTATAGGGTGCAATTAAAATTGCTCTAAATTCTGTAGTTCAATAATGTTTTAAACCCATGGTTATGGAATATCTAGTAATTTATGCTAGATCTTTCTTGCAGTGGATGAGTTAAGAATAATAAAGGGTAGTTTGGACAAGCTCTGTATATAATGAATGAAGTGAAAAATGGAGCACTAAGCAGGTTGCATATTAGAGAGAGAGAGAGAAAAACAGAGGCTGACCTGTTCTGAGGGGATTTGGCGTAGGCCCCAGCCAGAGCTTCTCTGAGGATGTCACTGGCAAACTGTTCAGTAGCCTGCAGTGTACGTGTGTACACACACACACACACACACACACACACACACAGACACACACACACACACACACACACACACACACACCATTAGTCACAAAGAAACCCACTCTAACGTACAGTACAAGGTGAAACACGCAATACTGTGCGGCTGCACATTTTATACATTCTGTATATTCATCATTCTAGTCAAGGGTATGTTGAGGTAATAATGAGCTGCTGTAAATGGCCGACTTCCCCCCCCTCTGTCCTGTTCTGGCCTCTATAGTGACCGACCTTCAGAATCATGGCTTCCACCACTGGAGCGAACACATTCTTCTCCACCTCGACTGGCTGGAAGGTTACCCCAATCTAGGAGAGACAAAGGAGTCATCATATAAAAATTTAGAAAATTGTGCAGCTTCTTCTAGTTAAAAATTCAGTTTCTACAAGCAGCACAATAACAGGATGCTATTGGTTGAATTTATCAACTCTTCTTGCATTTTCACTCTCAAAACCTCTGAGAGGATCCTGACCTGCTGGGCTGTTTCGCTGACAAACTGGGCAGACATGCAGGGGCCCAGGAAGAACTTGGGCTCCGCGTCGGCCTCTTGCTCCTCCTCTTTGACCTTTAGTTTCTGGCAGGGAGGAGTCACAGTGACGATGTCGACTATTTCGTCGTCTGCCTCCTCTGGTTCAGTTTTCAGGAGAGCTTGCATCTGCTCCAACCGCAGCACCAGCTCCTCGCAGCTACTCAGGGTCGTCGGGCACTCTGCGGGCAGATTTGCATGTACATTTAACGCGTCATTTCACAAGCAGCGACGTCTGAGTGAAGCAGAAACAGAAACTCAGTAATTCACTCAGCGGCTTTTTGTGTGGCTGCGTGCTTAAAAGGAAAGATGCTTCTGTTAAGTACTGGCAACAATCTGACAATTATAAAAATCAAGATATTTGTGCAAGAAGCAGAGACGCAACACAAACAGAGATTATCAAATCGTCTGGCTCAGGCAAATGTGTGACTCACTGAGCTAAGCAGCCTCGTCTCTCACCCTTTTAGAGACAAAAGGCAGAATTAATGAGAACTCACTGTGAATAAAACAACACAGCGGAACAAAAACACTGAGGCTGCACACTGGCCTCCCTCACACACTACTGGTCTGCAAACACATTACTGGACCAACTGGTAACTGCAGAAGAACTACACCCACACATGCAACTCTGAAGGGAAAATATTGATCCACTTTGAGCTGCTGAAAACAGAACAGAATAGACTGCGAGATCGCAAAAACAAGCCCAAGTAAATAACCCCTGTGTAGAAGCTATGCACCAAAAACACACATAAACTCACCAGGCTCGTTGTCGATCTGCGTGAGGATGTCCTCGATGGACTCGTTGTCATTTTTGCGTTGGGGCTCGAGGTCAGGTGGCGTGTAGCCCCTCTGTCGGCACCACTGCACCACCTCTCTGGTCTTTGGGGGGGTGAGGGCCTGCAGACGGGGCGAGCGGTCCAGCACATCCTGGACGACCCGCTTTACTGCCACCGCTCGCTGAAGCTACAGAGACATGCAAAACTGCACATTAGGCAACAGTCCACAGCTTCACATAGATTAACATTTTGTGACTTGATGTGGATAAATTTGGCCACATAAAATCTCTCCTGCCCACTATCTTTACCCTGTCCTCCTACCATGGAATGATGTGCTTTGAGTCCCCCTGTCCTCTAAGTAAATGAGTGACCTGTAGATATAAATATCCACATCTGGGATAGTCTGAGAGCCTTTTATAGTAGTAGAGAAAGAGAACAGACAGCTACGACATGTGCTGGTCTGTATGAGCTATTGATGAACACATTAGGAGGAGATGAGAGGAGACAACCAGGCAGAGATACACATCTGACCAGATAGATAGGGAGACAGGAGGCAAGCAGAAAGCTTGCTGAGTCAGGGGTCCAGCACTGAGCACCAAGACAGATTACACAGACAACAAAACTGCAAACAATGCAAATTATCTCTAACATTACAGACGCCCTCACCCTAGGCCTTGAGAGTAACTGCTAGCAAATAGGTGCTGTCACTCGGAGATATTAATGAGGTTAAAAAAAAGGAAATTGCTCTACATACAGAGCAGTGAAATGTAGCCAATATAACAATTAATCTGTTGAATATTTACCGAATCAGGAGGAAATGCCAGGAAATAGTGGAGGGAAAAAAACAATTTCCTAGAGCCCATAATAGAATCTACACATGTCTTGTTTTGTTGTCCAGCACCCCAAAGCTCAGAAAAGATATTCAGCTGAGTATCACATAAGAGAAGGAAAAGCAGCACGATTTACTGAAATATTGTAAGATATTTTTGTTTACCATTTCGGTTTTTCCTCCTGAAAAATGATCTTATCTAACACACTAGTTAGAGCTCCACTGTCATATCAGCACTTTGACTCCACAGAGGGTTTAAAATCACTCAAAGGCAAAGATAATGTACAGCATTCATCATGCGCCCGCACACACACACACAGACACACAGACACACACACACACACACACACACACACACACACACACTGAACAATGAAAAATCACCTCTGATGCTCTGCGCTTGCCAATATTCCAGGAATAATACTGTTCTGTTGAAGAGGCACAGAATGGATGGGAGTCTTCAGCTAAACAAACAAACAAAGAGTGTATTAACTTTCAGTCTGTTTTAATATATGGAGTTGGATTTTCAGCATACCGAATGGAAGGCAAGCTCACTCACTCTTATCTGGCACAATCAGAGGGAACTTCTTCACCACAGCTGTCAGCAGCTGCATCATGGTCTCTATGTGCTCAGTGCTGAGAAGGGAATCACAACCGTCCAGAGAACAATCAGAAAATATACACTGATATGGCTGCCAACAAGAGAAAGCTCTTAAACCCCTCCATTAATACAGTATAGTGGTAGCTACGTCATAGCTTTAATAAATGAAGCTACACTATTCTTCACTGAGTTCAGCAAGTCATAAATGGCGGTGTTAACACTTGCGGTGGTAAAATAAATATATGTAAAAACACTGTCTCACTCTGATGACTCAGTGTTTGTTTCTGCAAAAAATCTGTTTTTGCACTTGCATTTTTCCTCTTAACAGACAATAAATTATCTCTCCTGATTAAGCAGCATCATGACTTATTCTCACACTTACTTGATGAGGTCGTGTGCAGAGTTATCTGCCCCTTGCTCCTGCTTTACTGTAGTGGCTGCAGAAGCAACGTGGACAGAAGTGGGGACAGGAGCAGTCACCGGGGGTGATGTACCAGCTGTGACAGCTGTGCCAGCTCCTGGCTCTGTTTTTACTGCGGCAGCAGAGAATGACAGTGAAAGAGAAAAATGAATTTCAATAAAACCACACTATTAGTTTGAGGCTGAAGTTCTTCTATGTTGTTTGTATTAAAACACTGATGCATTTGGGAAAAGATAAAACAGATAAAAGATAAAAAAAATTTTTTGATTCAGTAAAAAATCAGTACCAACCCTAAGTATTATATTTCCACTAGTATCAAACAATGATGACAGAATGGAAGATAATGGATGTTGGAAGGGAAAGAATGAGAGAAGAGTGGGTGGAGTGGGGATGGACCCCTCTCACCTTGTGCCAGAGGCAGGGCAAGGAAGGGGGATGCCTGGGTGGCAGGGCTTGGGGAGGTTCCAGCTCCAGCTGCGCCAGGGGTGGTGGAGGAGGAGGAGGAGGAGGAGGAGGAGGAGGAGGAGGAAGGAGTACTGGAGACTGGGCCCTTAGACACTACTATACACAGAAGAAAAAAACACACACACACAAACACAAACACACACACACAACACACACACACACACACACACACACACACACACGCACACACACACACACACAATTGATCAATGGCCCATTAGGCAAATAGGCTTAACAGTAATATGAAAAATGAGAGGGGAGGAAGATGGTTTACAGCAGAGAAGAGCATCTGTAGCATACTTAAGCGACTGTCTCAAATCACAGTGTGTCGTCTTATGTATTAGCTAAATAAAATTCAAAAAGACAAACTGTATAAAGCTGCTGTTAGCTACTATAGTCTTACAATCATTTAAGAGAATAACCTGCTTTATTTCAACATTTGTGGCAAGATGTGACACACCAACAGAGCAATCAAAGTCGATGCTGCTTCATGTTTCATTCAAATGCTCCTGCTACTGCCTTTTATCTACTTTCAGAAGTGACTTGTGTTTTTGAAGCTGAGAACCCAGTTTTTCTACCTGGATTGCACACTTTTATGTTTGTGTCTTGTTTCAAAGGGCTGTCTCAGGCAAACTTACCCTTCCCAACAGGCATGAGAATGGTCTGCAGCCCTCCAGACCCAGTGCCAACTCCCAGCTGCTTGAGCTGGTTGGCAGGGATGGTTAAGACTGTCTGCTGGGAGCTGGAACCTCCAGAGTGAATCTTCAGCATACCTGGAAAACAAAACAGTGCATTCCAGATGACGAACAATTTGTGGCTGGACTAAAATTGTTACATTTTCAAAATGTGCATACACATTCAAACCAGGTGATGTGTCTCTCTGCATACCTGACAGAGTGGCACCCGTCTTCCCTCCTCCTGCTGCCACTCCGCTGACTAATGAGGCTGCGGTGACCAGTGACGTGCCGCTGCTTTTGGGCACACCCACCACAGTCCCCACCCCCGCTCCCTTGGACATGCTCATGACGGGCATGTTGGTAATGCCTTTGGCGACTGTTACCACAGCTCCAGTTGAACCTGCAGTACTCTTTGTCAGTGTGGCAGAGCTGCCAGCACCCTTGACCAAGGCAGCCACAGCCGTCTTCGACAGGCTGCCTCCAGCTGCGGCACTGGCACTCTTAGCTGCACTGATTACTGCCGCTTGGTTGGCTGCCACCAGGAGCGAGTGGTGCTGAGAGGCAGACTTCCCGGCATCGCAAGTCTGCACAGAACACAAAGGAACACAGCTGTCAATCAGGAAATAAATGGAAATATTGTCATTTTTCTCTCTTTCGCTGTATATGCCAGCCAACTAAGCCAAAGCACAGGAAAGTCACTGAGTCTTTAACTTACTGATATTGTTCTGGTGACAAAACTGCTACTATAGTGGGCTTAAAACATAACATTAAAAAAAAAGTCCATGTAACAGCATAGGCAAAAAGCAGTGATATATTGTGTCAATTAATTTGAAAACAAACACACAAATGTATCCCACTTGTACAAAAATGCTAAAACATCAACTGAAATAATTCCTTATGCAAAACAAAACAAAAGAAAAATCACCAATAATTTATAACTGGGAAATATAAAATAAAATATTTACACTAAACTGAATTTAGTGGAAATTTAATTAGTAAAGAAATTAATTTGGGTGACAACTTTAATTTAAAAAACACTCTTATGGGGTGACACATCTCACCTTCTGCAGTTGTGTAAAAGTGATATGAAAATTATTATGTGACAAATATATTAAAAAATCAAACTTGTGTTTAAAAGATAGAGAAGGATTTTTGGGAAATTAAATTCATTGTGGCAGGACTTTTCTTTGCTCTGGTCATGTTTGTTTTCCATAACGTGCAACTCCCGGATTGAGACAAGCTGATCAGGTCACTGGTTTTATGGAATTCTCAAAGACAAAAGAGTCAATTCCTCTCATGTAGATTCCTCATAATTTAATTAAAAGTCCTGAAAGGGTTGTTTCTCCTAAACTTTCTGAAAAGCTGTGATGCATTCCTCTTTTGTGTTTGCGTCAACATCTATAGAGCAGTGAGTGTGTTTCTCTGTTACATACTGTCTACATATTTATTTTTGCGTGCTGGAGCCTCTAGGAAGTCTTTTTGTGTGTTTCCATTTCTCAAGTTAATGAGGCCTGGCCACTGACTCCGAAGCTGTAATCACCCAGACCACTGCTGATGAACTGCTTAGGGCTCTTCACACACCATCCAAACACTCGGCTCTCTCTGAAAAATACAACACTGACCTTGCTAATGCACTCACACTGTTTTTTCATCTATTCCTACTGCAGTGTCAAATCAGTACATTTACCAAATTTATACAAAAGTGTAAAGACAATGAAATTTCATAAACAGAGATGATTCCTTATGCAAAAGCATATAACTTTACAATAATACTCCTCAAATCACCAATTAGTTTTTGTGATTGGGAAATATTTTTTACGTTAAACTGAATTTAGTGGAATTTGGGGTACTCCGGAACAAAATAACCAGTTTGCAAGCATAAGATAAATAATTAAAATCTATTTTTTGTGTAACTGCTGTTTGTTTCTTTTTAAAAGTAATTTCAAACCAGCTGTCAGGAAGAATAACAGAGAAAAGTCTGTGAAACTAGCCTGTTGTTGGCTTGCTGCTGCTGCTGCAGCGCTGACAGAGCTGGGGGTGGAGCTAGTGGCAGTGATGACTCCGCCTGTCATCCTCAATGTGGTTGTCCCCGGCTTGGACAAGTGGCCCGCTGCTGCCGCTGTTACCGTCTTAAGAGAGCCATCAGACAGCTTCACCTGTGCACCCTGGGAGCCACCCACAACCTGTCAGTGATAGAAAGAGTGAAGTTAGGTCTTTGGGGGAAAACAGGCTACAACAGAAACCTAGTATATGTTACAGTATTTATAAGCATCTGAAATTGGCTTTTCTTTCTCCAGAGAAAATTTATATCCGCAATCTGATCAAGCTTACTGACAGAAGGAAGTAAGAACAGCATTTTAGGAATGAGGTGAATTATTGGTAATTATAATGAGGTTAATTATATAGCCATAATTGCTCACTCTGATTTCTGCCATAATCATTAGTCCTAATCTAACAATCAGGGACCATTGAAACAGTATGACAGCTATGTCCAGGATGGCTGGTAGATCAGGCAGGTAACACAAATAGTTAATTGTCCTAAAATTGTTATCATGAAAATACTAATAGGGCTCGCTACAATCAATCCAAGGTTTTGCTCTCTTTTATCATTTCATTGCCAAAGACAGCACTACATTTGTACGCATTTAAAACATCAGTTTAACCTGTAAACTCCAAAATTAGATAGGACTTGTAATGGCAATTTTTAAAAACCTACACAACCTGTTCAAGAGGCTATTAGATCTATTATACGCATATAACCCTTAACCCTGTTTCTTCCTGTACTCCGTGTAATGTTGAGACTTTACCAAGCAGCCGAGGACATGATAAGTGATGATAAGTTAAGAGGGCAGCAAACACAGTTTTTATGAGAAGTGGTGTGAAGCAGTGAGAAAGAATGAGGTTGAAGAAAAGAAATAGAATCGATACTTCAGTAAGAAGAGTAAACAGGACAGCCAGGGGTGAGTAAGGAAGAACATAAGCACAGTTAAACACTGAAGGAGGTCTTTAAGGAGTCTCACTCTCAAAGCTTTACTGGTTACAGTCCTGGAAGATCCTCAGTGATTTATACCCCAAAGACAGACCAGACAGTGCTTGTAACTCTTAACTGTATCAAAACTGCGCTGTTAGTACTTGTGAAACAGTAAAGGGACACAAACATAACAGTGGCAACTACAACAGCCTCAACAGTCCTGCCCTCAGTCTTGTTACCCGTACTGACCTGAGCTAGGATGGCTGCCTTCTGTCCAGCTGTCACCCGAATGGCCTGCTGGGTAACAGTTGCTGGAGATGATGATGCATGACCAGCCGAGGAACCTCCCTGCTTTCCTGAACCCTGTGCGGGCTGGCCAACCAGAAAAGTTCCCTGGGTGAAATGGACAAGCAAGGTTAGGGACAGGGTAGACTTAGACCATGACAGTTTCACTGACTTTGAATTTAATAAGCTAGGGAAACCACACAAAATGAGTACACAGAACGGGGTGCTGTTTCCCTTTTAAACCAATCTTAAAGCCAAAATAACATCTAACCAATATTATGCTGTACAGTACGTTAGAGTACATTTTCATGATGTCCAAGGAATGACAACTCTAAGCACATAAAATGCATCTTTTTTCAATTAGCTTTCTTTAGTTGTTTAACGAGCTACACACATTATATTTAAGCACAGTTGTTAAAATCACTCTTAACCTTGAAGATTGATCACTATTAGGAAACACAGCCTAGATCCTTACTTTAAATGTAGGAAGAAACCTCTGCAGACAACTTCATTATATGCTGCAGGCTAAATGCACAGACAGCACTGTTCTAAAGCTGACTGCAGGATCAATGCTGCTATAATGAATGTATCTAATTAAGAACACACCAGGCTCAACGTCTCTAAAGGAATACAAAAATCTGTGAGTCACCAAGGAAAAGAAACCCCATTTGCACACTGTGCACGAAAGTCTTTTTTTAATGAATAAAATCTAAAGTCAGTTTTTGTAACTGTGATGAGTATTAAATGGATAATGTTAACGCACCTTCCATTTTAAACACTGCTCAAAACATGCCAGCAAATAAAAACTAATGCTCTGATGAAGAAATATGAGAATCCACAACAAAGAAACAACATCAAAAGAGGTTATTTTTATACTAGAGTATGTATGCCTCTAAGGTTTGTATCATATATTTAAATGGATTTCTACCCACCTGTGGGGTCTGTTTAAGGATATAGGATGTGTAGGAGAGGTTGGAAGGCAGACTGCTGGAAGAAGAAGAGGAGGAGGAGGTCTGAGAGCCCCCAGCGCCTGCCGACGAACTGCTCTGGGACTGCTGACCTAAATTACAGACAGCCATGTACAACATCAGTCTCAAATCTGACAAACAATCCGGTTATTCTTTATTACAAATTGCGGCTCCTCTTCTATTCATTTAATTTATTCAAACATTAAGTTGAGTAATTTCAAAAAATAAAAAAAGAGGGCTGTGTGAGATATTATGGCTCGCACTACACATTAAATAAACTGCAAAAAGAAATACATGACTTTGTCCAGAAGGCAGTGTAGCAGTCACAATCTGTAAATCCCTTCAGAAGTGGGTTGCTTACTTTTCCCCAAACTTTATGATGAGCCGAGAGCAACAACATTTTTTAATAAAGCTGGCTTCAGCTTGAGGCATGGAGGAAAATGTCAGGGCGAAAGTCATTTGGCCGGGCTGCTAACCCTGGATAGTCGCCTACAGACTCATGTATTAGTTTCAGTTAGTCTCAGAACATTCCCAAAGCTGCCAATCTCAAACATCCATCGAAGATACACGCGAGGAAAACAAAATTACATTCCTCTCACAATATGTGATACTAGATGTCTGCTAAGAAATAAGTGTGCATAGACAGATGCTAAACTATCTCAGGTTTTCTGCACCCACCTGGACATTAAATTATTATATGGGCTTGAACTGAAGACAATGTAGTTTATTTTTTTATACACTTTTTATAAAGGAGAACGTATTTTATTTGATGATGATTGTACTTTTAGTGTTACGGGGCTGTTTGTGGCCTTAATGTTGCTAATGTTGTCTTTCTACAATGTGTCCACTAGAGTACTTGTCCAGGAAGCCCAGTTTAACCCCAAGAAGTAATCGGTTGTTGTACAGTGTCACAGAGTATCAGGTTAGAAGGTGGACAATCCAACAAAACATTCTTAAAATTTTCCCTGGTCTTAAAACCCAGCACCTCCAAGAGCTTGACCTGAGTGTGTCAAGTATGTGACTGAAACCCAGTATGAAGAAGGGAGGGGGAAATGGCTAAATGGCTATTAACCAAAACTAAGTTTTTCTGCCAGTGTCTGTATTTAAAAAGATTAATATAGAATGTGGCATGTCTCACTTGCACTGGAGGCTCGGAGGATTGCTCCCTGTGGGATGAGAAGCAGCTTGCCCTTTCCCGAGGGGTTCTTACTGTTGGTGGTCAGGTAGAGTTTGGTGCCTGGAGGCAAATTGGCCAGATTGGCCAGATTGTTGGCTGGCAGCTGAAGAGTAGCCATCACTAAGGACAAAGAAAAACAATCATTCACCCACCTCTAAAAATGTTAGTGCCTATTTTGGAAAAGGAAATTGATCTTAATATACAATATTAACTTGTCTATACTAGCTTTGTGACTTTACATCAGAAAATGATTTTTCTGAATAATTAATAAGACAACAGTTACCAAATATAGAACTTTCTAAATTGTGCATAACCTGTTAAATTTGTTGTGAATTAAAAATTACTATATATATATATATATATATATATATATATATATATATATATATATATATATATATATGTGCAGCCTTAGTGTTACATGTGCATCATATGCACTTGTAGTGTATGAACTCTGACCTCCACTCTTTCCACTTGAACCACCAGCCACCTTGGCAACAGCCTGCTGACCAGAAATGCCACTGGCTCCACTGACGATGGCTTTAGCAACTCCCTGGGCCAAAACCTGCTTCCCACCCATCACCTTAGAGACAGAAGGGTTGCCCTTGGCAACCAGAATCTGTCCACTGCTGATGGCCACCTGTTTGACTGCAGACTGGAGCGTCGAGCTAACCGGAATGCCCAACATCTAGAAAAGTGCCAAATACAGTTTTTAATGACTTTTTACCTTTTGACAGTATATATATATATATATATATCACTATTAACATGTAAATGTTTGATGTGCTTCTGTCTAAGAGTGTGGTATATACAAGACAGACTGACCTTGCTAGTTGTGGCCCCTGTGGCCCCTCCTGCCTGTTTCTGGGCCGACATAGAGATCATGTGACCTCCTTTCACTGCGACAAACTGGTGTGCTGCTGTAGCGGAAGGTTGCTGCTGGCTGGTTACTGTGGAAACCATCTGCTGCTGTGTTGAAACTTCCCCTGGCTCCTGCTTGATAATAACCTGCACAAGAAGTGAGTGCACATGGAGAGAAGGATTGTAACAGCAGGGCCACACTGCCTTGAAACCACAACAGGTTGTAAATATTGCAGCTGTTATAATTGGTGTACATTTTACATCTTTAATTAAAAATGCATCATTTAGTCATTAATATGATACATTTTGACCTTACTGTTAAGTGCACCTTACTTTTTTTCAACAGGCTACAGATAGCAGAGCAGTGAGAAGAGATAAAACAGATTTCTGAAAATCAGCATCATCATTTATTCATCAAGGAGATGTTTTCATATTCCCCATCTGTCCCCATCTGCCCTGGCCTTTAGTACTACAGCAAATAGCAGAAGCATACAACAGAGACAACTGTAGAATCAGAGTACCACTGTGATAAAACTGAAATTTTAAGTGAAAGGGGATTTCATTTTTTTATGGATAATGATGAGATGATGAGCATGTGGGAGTGGGAGGATTTTTCCAGCGGGGTATTGACACTGAGTGAAACAGAAACCATGCAATTCTTTCTGCAAAGCTCCCTGCACCCCTCTCCTATCTTCAGAGTGATGTCCCATTTAAATAGCTTGCCAAGGCACACACATCTGCTGAAGATAGCACCGTGTCCTACTATTAATACCACCCTGCTTTGTTAAAGACACAGATGCTACAGGGAAAGTCTTCACAGTGGTGGGAACAGATCAGTAAAAAGACTTTCTAGACTAGACTAGTTCAAGACTTCATGTTAAAGAGTGACACTATTAAGACTCACCTTCACCCCTGAGGAGAGGAAGGTGCCTGTGTGAACTTTGGGGGCTGGTGAGCGAGTGCCTTGAGCAGCAGACTGTTTGGCGGAGGGGCTTCCTGTAGAGTAATTTACACAGAAATACACAGAATAAATCATGGAGAGATGACTGTACTGGTGATGGCTCACTGCAGTTCCTGCCATCCTTTTCCACAGACATCAAGAACATTGTGGTGCAAGGTGGCAGTTTCATGCCAGAGTTACTCAGCGTGGGTGTTGACGCCAAACTTGGCTTCTGGCTCCACTCACAGAGCTGAGCGCTGCTAAAGTTTCATTCCTTACATTAAAATTTGTTTTATCCCAGGGCCAGTGAATCAGCCACAACACCCACATCAACCTCATCCAGCTTGATAAAACATCACTTAATAGCACTCCAGCCCTGCTGCCAGATCTGGTTGAGCTGTGCATTTGTGGAGGAAGTGTGGGAGTGGCTGAGTGGATGAGAGAGAGTGAGCAATCTAGGGGAAAGAGTCCCTAAGTGGAACTGATGCTGCTGATGTGAAGAAGAAAATACAACAGCATTGGTGATGCAAGATGACTCTGCTCTTTGATGGGTGACACACACATAAAGTGCACATTTGCTTGACCTTACAGTGAACTATCATCTTTCCAGATGATTGCATGCTTTGTTTATGGGACACACACACACACACACACACACACACACACACACACACACACACACACACACACACACACACACACACACACACACACACACACACACACACACACACACACACACACACACACACCTAATCTGGCAATGAAACACAGAAGCTCAGTCACCATGGTAACCTCTCATCTAGCACCCATCCTGCTGGCTCACCACACGTCATACTTTGAGTGCAAAACAGGGACAAAGGAGAGACAGGGACAGAGATAGACACAGAAAAAAACCAGGAGGGAGGGAGTACAAAGAGCTAGATAAGAAAGTATAAGGGGGTAAAAGAGGACAAGCAAGAAAAAAGTACCAAATGGGAGAAAAAGTCTAGAGGGTATTGTTCATCATCTGTACAATCCTCACTGCCATTTTTATATTCTATGTGGGCGGCTCAGACACTGGTTCTCGATTTTGCTGCAGGTCCACTTCCGATTTCAAGCAGCACTTTGACACTGAGTAGGAGATGTGTACCTGTGGAGGCGGCGGATGAGGCAGCCATGCCGATCACCTGGCCTGGCTTGTCAACAATGATATAAGGGTTGTTGAGCACTGACGAAGAGCTCTGCTTGCTGTGGACAGGGGTGGAGGCGGTGGGTGTGCGAGGCAGTGGGGAGTGGCTTGGGGTGGAGATGGGAGACCCTGTGGGGGAAAAAGTGCAAGGGTGATTACATGAATAATTGTCTTTAACGATGTTAATAACAAATGAACATGGAAAATGCTCCATGTACATGAATACTTTGGGAAACAAAATGCTAAATCAGATTTTTCACAGAATCCCAGTTAAGAGAATGGAGTGAAACAATGTGTACAACCAAACAAATGCTTAAAATGCTTGCTTAGCTGGCGGGTAACAGTCTGAACATGTGAAAAATGCTATGTGATATATGAACATGTAAAATGACATCTTTCCTTTCCTCTCTTAGCGGCCTTTGTGCCACCAGCCCACAGGTGATGTGACTCACATCACTGCTTGTAAAGCAACCATTAACTGAATTTGTAGAAATTTGGCCCAAACTATACTATCCATGATGCATATTTAGAGAATTCAGATTAGGTAGACACACTGTAAAATATTGAGACGTCTTGCTCCCTTCTGAGCAGTACAGCAGCATATAGCTAACAATGACTGCATTTGAAAGAATAACACCAAGTAAAGAATGAGCACCAAGGAATAAAGTGTGCAAAATATTTGAGACAGAACAATATTGTGATTATTAAAACTGACAGAAAAAAAGGTTTAATATCTATACAGTGTTGGCTGTCACTAAACATGTATTTTAGCTACATAAAATCTTAATTTTTGTTTTGAATGTAGGATGTTTGACCAAATTATCAGACGAAAGGGTGTTAAAATTCTGAAATCTGACTGAAAATCTAATTTCAAAAAATTATTATTTAAGAAGAAATCAGCATGCAAAGTTATAAACAATTCTTCAGAAACACTATGAAATGACCACAGGGTAGAGACATTTACCTGAAACTATTTTACAGCTCATGGTGATTGGTTGGAATGATTTTCCGGGAGACTCAGCAGGGCTGGGTGGCTGTCCCTGTGGGACAATCTTACAGCTTGCTGTGATGGGCTGGAAGGCCGAGTTACCATGGGAACCCAGAGTGATCCTGTCACCAGCTTTGGGTCGGGTTGGGGTCCGTTCACCAGCGGTGAGGCCGGAGCTGTGGCCACCTGCAGACCTCCCCGTCTCTGCTTTGATGAAACCTAGAAAGAACATGCAAGACTTTATTTCAGTTGACAATTACAGATGTAACAATACAATGTATCCTGTACAAGGATTTTATTTCAAGAGAGACCACAACACCACTGAAACCTTGTCCAGTCTGGTTTGAGGGGAGAACATGCTAAATATTTATTTGATAAAATGTAAATACACTTTTTAATGATCATGTTTAAAAAGGTTAAATGTTTGTGTGTACCTTTGTCTACGCTGGGATCATGTGAGATGGGAGAACTGGAGCATCCATAACTTTGGGTCAGGGAGGCAGTCAACATGGGGCTGGCTGCTCTGTGAGTCACCTTGGAGGAAGAGGGCTGAGGGATGTAGTCCTCCCCAAGAGAATTCCTATGGAGCTCAACATCAACCACCTGGAACAAATATAGCTCATCGTCAGAGTAAACTCAAAAAAAGTGACTGCAGGAAAAAGAGCGAACATTTATAACTTACAGTTTCTGCCCCAAGTGTCTGCAGCCCAGTGTATGTTCTGTCCAGCTATAGGAAAAGAACAGAGGGGTCAAAATGAAGACTTTTATGAAGTTTAGGTTATAAAGTAGGGGTAGTAAACTAGAAAGCTGAGTTATAATCACTATTCTTAGTTGTAAAGTCCGCTAAATTATAGATGCTTGCTCATAATAATGACTAAATTATTTTTTTTTAATTTCTCATGAGGTTTTATTATCTAGTTGTTAAACACAGTATGCCTACAGCAATGTAGCTGCTAATTATGCCAAAGTTCCTACAATGGAAAATTCTATTTTGCTTTAACGTTAGTTTTATGTTCTTGTCTTGTGTTTATCTGAATCTTATATAGTTTGTATTTCTGGTAATGTGTCCACCAATTAAGTAGGTAAAAGTAACAAACATTCAGGGACAATAGATGTTTATTAGTATCTAATGTGCAATATACCAGTGGCAGTACAGAAGTCACCACAAACATAAAGGACATCATAGACATCAGGATGTCTATAAGAGACTCAGTTAAAACGATATGTGGAAAAATACTGTGTCTCAGTCTGAAGAAGAAAACAAGCTGAGTGATAATGCGGTCTATCATCTGCTCTGACCTTTAGCTGGTGGATGATGTCAATACGTTTGTTGCGAGGGTCTTTGAAGTGGATCTGGATCCTCACAGGAAACTCACCCCAACCGCGACGTGTTAAATGAAAGGGAGGCTCACTGAGAACAGACACATTCAAAAACCCTTATGTAACGTCATCAAAATACAAATGTGGAGAACAAGAATCTGCAGAGGATGCATCACCGTGACTCTGTAAGATCCCATCCTGGCTTCTGACTCATACTGAGTTAATAATCTCGTAAAATCAATGACTTGAAGGGCTCTCTTCTTGCGCCCCTTTGAAGTTTGAGGTTTCCATCCCCACATAACAGAAGCTAATCCATGCAAGCATTTACAAGGGCATGTGTATGTGCATGCATATTATGTGTCTGTTCAAGTATACCCTGTGAGCGATGCTCTTTTGTTTTTCCACTCTTTCATTCATCTCTTCATATACATTCAGGCTGTGTCGAGAGTCAGCACTGGGCCTGTGAGGGGTTCACTGGGAATGAAGACTTGAGTCAGTCAGAGACAGCTTATGAGCGGCTGCTACAGCAACATGAGCGCCTTGTCAGCTTAAACAGCCAGGAGGCTACGGCTCAGGATAAGGATTGCTGACTGATGAGAGGGATCATTTATTCAGAAGCCATGGGCAAACTTAAATCCTTTGCCACTTTTAGAGGATAAAATCTAAAATGAGATATCTTAACCACAGAACTTGAGGGCAAAACTTTTTCTCCTTCTAAGTGATTCCTAAATGAACAGCAATCTACACACCTCAGTGCTTTGGGCTAACGCAAACACACGTTCTGAGTGACTACACCGTGTTTATAATTAAGGTGTGTCCACTATTAGTCATGTCGCAGTTGACATAGTCTGACTCAGTATATGCTTAAATGACATCACAGACCCCACCTAATGATGTGTGTGTACAATCTGCATAATGCATATTGTATGTATGCATAACTACTAGCCACAAGCTGGATTAAGTATCACTCAGAGAGACAAATATTGTTTTTCACTTTCGGCTATGATTGATGGGGACTAGGCTGGATGATCTGAATCATCAAATATCCACAAGGGGGCACTGTTGATTAAAGGATTTTCATAAAGGTCTGTTTACTTCTTATTCTGTGTTTATACAATGTGAATATCAGCCAACTGTTTTGGCACTTAGAGGCTGATATGAAAATTGTTGTGAATTAAACACCAGCTGATGATAAAGACAGTCTCTTACGCATCTAGGTGTTATTATCCAAAATTGTTACCTTACTTCTTTCAGTTTGGCAAGTGGTGCATGGAAAGGGGTGGGGCAAAGTACAGACCTAGCATAATAATATAAGGTTAGAAGTAAACATTGTGTCTATGGGAGACAACACTGTGAGGGAAAATCTTATTGGAACAAGCTTGTCCCCATCTCTCTGACTATTGTTGCCTGAGGTAACCACATAAAACGTTTTTTTTTTTTTTTTTTTACAAAAGAGGTGTACATGACTGATGTGTGTTTAAATATATAGAAAAACAGATCGGCACAAACCTGACTTCCACTAGGTCATTGGGTTTGTAGCTGGGATGCAAGAAGAACCAGACTTTCTTTACAAAGTGGTCAATGCTGGGTTCCCTCCTGGAGCCCCTGACGTACACCATCCACTTATGGGTCGATTGGTCATTTTCTTCCCGCTTATCTGGGGGAATGTACCTGAGGTTGAGAGACAAAGAGGAAAAACAACCAGAGGGAATAAAGATGTAGTGCATGACAACGTAAGGGATATGGGAAAACACTATACAAGTAGGAAAGCAAGTAGAGCAGTAGTAGCAGGGGGGCAGGTGAGATTGTAAAGAAGCTTTTTCCTTCTTATTTCACTAGAACCTACATTAAGGGATAAGAGGTAAGAGCAGAGGATTATGGGAAGACTGGCGGCATGGGTCACGGATGAAACTTATATTTCAAACGGATAAATATTAGAAATAGGTCATGAACATTTAGTGCAAACACCTTAAAAGAGCTTAAAGAACCTGTCGGAGAATGAAATACATTAAATGAGTGATCAGTTGTCTAGACCAACTTAAACTCATCTAATACCATTTATCTTCAATTAACTGTCTATGACTCCTGTGTCAGGTTTAAGCCTTTTATTATATACAACTATGCACATGAGAAATCACTTTTAACCCTCCGAGCCGTGAGCACAAGATACATGGGCCTTGTCAATCAATCATCCTAGAATAAACATGTGCTTCGTGTTATACTGAACCAAGTTATCTAGATCCACTGAAGGGAACAGGCCCAGGGGAAAATAAAAAGCAGTTTCAAACTGATCAAGACTGGGCTTGTAGCAAAACCGAATTAAACTGAATTGTGGTTCAGCTCTTTAGTGCACAGTCAAGCAAAAACAAGGCAAACTCAAGTAAGAGGCTGGGCTTTAAAAACACAAAAACATGCCATTGAAAAACTACTGAGGAAGAGGCACACCTGTTTTGGAGAGTAACTTAAATCAAAAAAACAATCCCTATAGTGCACAGTTCACGTAATGTTTTTCATTAAAGCTTTCACATATCAACAAACACATTTATCTGTAAGTTTTTTCTTATAGCCTTATCAACTTGCGATGTCTAAATTAATACAACAACATATGTATCTAGAGTAACTTTGTGTCCAAAGCTTAAAGGGCCATCCACACTAAGAACAGTAACTATAACAATAACTATAACGATGTGAGAAGCATTCCCAAGCATGCACTACGCGGTCACGCTATTTGTGCAGCTTAGGAAAATTGACTTGTTGATGACCTGTTACTGCTGTACATTGTGCAGTGAAACAAACAAACTGGTTGGGTTGACAGAGTTCTATTAAGAAGCAAAGAGTTGGGAGAATCAAACACTCTGTTACAAGCGTTGCCGTCCTTTGAAGGCAAATGTAAAAAAAAAAAACATCATTGAGGAACGAACAAACTTCAGAGAACCCAATCAGCGCCAAAGACCATTTAGTATGTCTCAGGTAAAATCATTTTCTGCAACCGAATGACTCTGCCGGACACTAGCTATATATTTATAGTTATTGTTACAGTTATCATTCTTGGTGTGGAGGGCCCTTAAGTAAGTGCATGGCTTAAAATTCATTCATAACTCTCAGCTGTTGTCAAACTTTTGAAATCCTTTATGAACAGCTAAGACAAAACATCTGGTTACTCTGTACTTGAAGTGATATTACTATCTATGACTAAAATCACCTCACTGTTTTTCAACAAAGAAAAATTGGCAGTATCAACAGATTTCTAAAAATATCATGCCTACGGTTTTCAGAGAGATTGATGAAAATACAAACTTTGATGTTATGATTGCATGGTTGTGATTTTCAAACATTCTTACTTATTAAAATAAATTTGAAGGAGAAGGAAAAGGACAAATGTGATGTTTTCTTCTATCATATAAACAGTCTCATGACCCCCTAACCTCCAAACTGGAAAGACCTGCTCTATAACATTCAAAGTCAGAATAATGACTGAGTGAGAAGAAACTTTTGCCTAGTTTGGTTACGTACTTGGACACATTCCCCACTACAATTGTCTTCTTTGCATAGAGCCTAGAGGCCTCGTTTCCGGTAGTGTGGTATGTCACCCTCTGCTCCGCTCCAATGGACAATGGCACACCAAATGTATCCTATGACAAACAATGGAGAACAAAACAGGCTTGATGAAAGATATAGATGCAAGATTAATGCTGATACCCGCTTTGCATTCATTAAATAATCAACGACCCAGTCATCTTTCTGAGTTGAACTCACTTTGCCTGTATTGCGTCCAGGTCTGAGCTCCTGCCTGCTGCCGTCCTCTCTCCATGCTCCCTCTCCATCCCTGTCAGCTCCCTCTCCTTGCTGCGAGAGAGACTCTGACTCTGAGTGCACCAGAGAATGAGTCTCAGAGCCTTGGTTGAGAGGGGAAGACGAACGGGATGGGGACTCCAGGAACCGGCGGATGGCTGGGTGGTTCAGCACTGCAGGGTCACTCTTAGCTGCATGCTAGGACACAGAGGACACGGTGGTTGCTGCTACTGTACAATACCTAAGAGCAGTCTGTCTGTCTGTCTGTGTATGAATGTGTAACGATTTACCTCTGGGTGCTTTGACATTCCAGCATTGGCATAGTAATTGGCCACTATACATGCCCTTAGCTTGTCCATCATCCTCCGGGCTTCATTGAGTCGCTGCAAAATGAAAAACAATGAACAATCAAAGTAGTCTGCTTTATACTGTAAACATAACAAAATGAATTAACCGTCTGTGTCAAAGCATTTTCTGCATTACTGATAGAAAACAAGTGCAATAAAGTTTAATAAAAAGAAGTGTCATTCTGATACCTGACTTATCACATCTATCTCGTGCTCTTTGTTCTTCATCTCCAACGAGAACTGCTCTCGGATGATGGTTTCAATCTTCTGTACTGCTGCTTCCCGGGCTGAGAAAGCAGGAGGATCATAAGTTAGAGACCCAGGATCACCTGAGTACACTTACCTGTTAGCTGTCACAACATGTAAAGCAGGTGTGCAGTCTCAGGGTTCAGAGCATGAACTTACCATTATGTTCAACCGCTTTGTTTCTCTTACTGTTTTGGACCAGCGAAATGTCCTCATAGTCAGGATCACTGCCTTCTATTTTCCTTTTAATCCCTGACATGGCTGCCTGTGAAGAAGAATATATTATATATCATATGAAAACGTTAGCTTGTCACAGCCATGCTCCCATGGACAGTTGTGATGGTACTTAGCATCGAATTAGCCGGCTAGCAGAGAAGCTGCCAGACACTGCTAATGCCCAGAGCTAGCATTAGCACTGACTACCCAGCTAGTTTTGCTACTGTGGGTTAGCAGACCGTCTGCACCTACTGCTGTTTGCCCACCACTTGATAAAAACCCCCCACATGAAGCGAGTGTAAACAACAACAATATAAAACGTTACGGCCAGCGGACTGTGTCTCGCGACCTGTGTGTTCGAGAAACCCCCGCGTGCCGTTCGTGCAGCCGGTAGCACTGTAACGTTAGCAACTAGCTACCCTCTCCTTGTTTGCTAATGTAGCTAACGTTAGCACACATTTGTAGAAACCGATTCAATCTGTTTGAAATGCAGACTTACTGGAGTGCCCTGTGCTGCGGAAGCAACGTTTCTTTGTGAGGCGTGTGTTTTAATTCAGTGAGAGCATATCCTTTGCGTTATGCTATATTCATCTTAACACACTTGTGTTTTTAGTAAATAGGTAAAATCTCGAGGTGGACAAGTAGTGGAAATAGGGGATAGTTAGCCTTGCGCTTCAGCAAAACAGCCACCAGGGGCCACTATTATACAGAATAGGTGTTGAGCACGCTTTGAATGCTGTATGTATATGTCTGTGGTTTTGTTCACCAGGAAAATGATGTGTGATGAGATTATAACACATCAACCTGCATGGTCTGATGACAGAACGCTAAAGGTATTCAGTCCTCTATTATTGTTTCATGAGGATGTTTTTTATGACTGATTCTCTGGAAATCCTCATGGCCATCACACGAGTAGCCTTTGGCAGAACTGTGATTACAATCTGGCAGTGATTTATTTCAGGACAGCAATGCACATATGGTTGCCTTTAAGTCAGGATAGTAGCTGTGGCTATAGACCTATAGTATAGTATAAGTATTATTACAACAATGTTACATGTTTAAACTTGACAGCACTTATAACTAACATGACCTGAGTTTCTGATGATCAGGATCAGGTACATGCATATTTTTTTATAATATAATTGTGTATCATTTGAGCCACACAGAAACATTAACACGGTAAAAACAGGGTTTTTAGTTTGTAGTACGTTGCATTTGCCTGGCAATAGGGGGACCAGGTGTCTCACATTGTGCGGGGACTGCACAACATTTTTATTCCTTGTCCCACATCCCACATGTTGAGACAAGGTCCCACATTTTGATTAGATCTAGTTTTCAAAAGTCCAATCGCTGCTGGACGGACGCTTTTCTTGCATCTCGTTTTAATCTAGTGGCTGTCGTCACAGGACCGTGTTTGATGCCAGTCAGACTGAGCACACATGGGTCAAGTGCAGGTTAACCTGTTTGGGAAACTTGAGATTCACCACAAAGTTACAAGCTATGCAAATTTAGGTGTGAAATATAATTAATTAATAATTATATTACCACAAAGAAAAGGGAATGCAGCAACAGCAAAGACTGGAAAACTACTGGGTGAAGCCGTTGGAAGGCGACTATGGCACAAGACCACACTAATAACTGTGAAACTTTAACTTCCTTTTATGCTTACTGTATTTCCTGTATTTAGTGTGATAAAATACATTTAAGCCATTCACATATTAAAGGCCTGACCTGCCACATAGTCCATTATTTGCTACTGAATCAACCAGAGGGTAAAGCAAAGTGATGTTAAAAGCTAAGGTTGAAATTTAAAGTTAGACAGACATTATATCTACCTTTCACCATTGCTAACGTGTCCCACATTGTCCCACACAAGCATACACTTTGTCCCATATTTTGTTGGGATCTGGTCACCCTGGCAATGAATCAACCTCTCAGCTTCCCATAACTTATAACCTACTGCTGCAGTATAAAGGCCTCTCTTGTGGAGTTTGGCCACATTTGTAAAAAGGGCTCATTTGCCAAGAGATACTTCACAGGCACCACATAGTTTCCTTGTCTGTTGTACATCACTACATAGGGAGCATTAGGAGGTTTTATACTATTCAAAAGTAGTTCAGTTTGACATAGGTTTTTATTCTAGATATCAAATCTATCTTTTTATTAAGCCTAGAACAATTACCCCAACCACAATACCAACGTGGGTCATTAATTTATGTCTGCTTGTGGTCTTCAACAGGATGAGTGTGGGTGTGAAGTCACAGTATACCACTGCCAAATGTCCCATAAGCACGATTCAGTTATGCACTGACATGAAGTTTGATATACATTGTTTTCCTGATTGTGAGTGTGTGTAAATAGTAGGTACTCAATGAACTGTAAATTCTTTCTACATTGTTTAGTGGGAATGCAGACATTGAGCCCATAACAATCCGTCAGAAGGATGTTTGTGGTTTTGAAAAAAAACAACCATAATACAGACTACATAAATCACAACATAAGACAGAACAAAAAGGGCCTTATGAATGTTTACTGCAGCGTGAGTTGCTCAATCCCAGCTTGAAATAGTGTGGCTGGTTTTATATAGTGTTTCCTTGTTCAACACAATGGCTCATTAAAACATCTCCAACATGAATGATTGGTCCCTTGATTAAATAAAACATCCAATAGCCATATGGGGCAGATAGTAGGAAGTTTAATAAGACCTCATATTGTATTTCTTGTTGTTGGTTGTTTCACAAAAATATGTCTTCATTAAAATCTGCGGTTAGGTTGGCGGTGACAACAGCTGTGGGTTCAATCATCTATATAATCAGTACAATCACGCCAGCTTCATCTTCCACATTTTTATGGCGTGAAGACACTGGAGTGAAGACCAGTGTGTTGATACTAATTGAAATGAGAATATCTAGCCTCATATATCACATCAAGTATAACAGTTGGATCTCAATCTTTTGATATCTTTCATATCCTGTTGAAACTAAAAGGCTAGTTTAAAGAATCTTGGAGGACTTTAATTTGAGAAGCTGGCATGAAGATGATCTATGCACTGAAAATACAGAACTGTCATTTAATATACAAGTAGAGAAATACTCTGTCACTATTAATCACATTTTAATTATGTGTAATTAAAAACTTTGCCTTTAAACTAAATAATAATAATAATAATAAATGTTTTTTTTAAATATTACCTTCTTAAACATTTTACACTAACAAGACAGGACACACGTTTATGTGTAAAGAAAGAAAAACTTTATTGATGTTTTTCTTACACAAGTCAACCATTACATTTCAACATACTGCAGTTTACAAAAATCCAAAGCTTTCTCGCAGTTAGACAAAGAGCATCTGAGGAGAAAGTGGTGTTAAAATATCACATCATACATACAATAATAAAACTTAATATCAAAATCATACGATTTAATTCCCCAATTGTTCCCCACTCTTTTTATTAAAAGGCACATAGGGCAGCATTTGGCAACAGGTTAAAGCCCCCCCCCCCCCCCATCTTTACCCATTGACATTTTTCAACAAAGTTACCTTTGGGATTGAATCAAATCCACTTTGGCTTACATCTGCATGCATATTAAACTCAATCAGCTTTTAACGCTCAGCTCTTTAAGTTTAAACGTTTATTAAAAAGGCACAACTTTTAATTTTGGGAGTCAAAATATCTTGGCAAAAAACTGTCCCACAACTCACCACAACAGGCAAAAAAAAAAGAAAATCACCAAACAAAAAAAAAAAAAACTTATCAAAGTAAACGTTGTATGAAAGCCTCTATGTAGCTAATAATGAAAATCAATAAATCAACAGAAGACAATTTTGAGTAAACACTCAGTGAAATCACAGACGCACACACACTCAAATTCTCTCTCTCTCACTATTTATCTAACTCCTACTCTTTTTGCTTTACCACTTTCTTGCCCCTCAGCCTCCTCTTGTTGGCCTCCAGAGTTATCCTAAGTATGTTACTGCAAAGGAGTGTGGGTGGCCCTTTTTTTTCTACTACAGCTGAAGACCTGACACTGACCTCATACTTCTAAGAAAACTTCCTGGAAGATGATTTGAGGCAAAATTCCACCTACCTGTTTTTGTCACTGTGACTGACACATGGAAGCACAACCCTAATGGTCTTATGTTGTGTCTTAGAAAATTACACACATTGCATCGTAGCTCACTAGTCCCCAATGTTTCACTCTAAAATGAAAAGTTGAAACTCTCTTACTCACTCTTCACATTGTTCCCTTGTGGCAGTTTTTTGTTTTTCTTAGAATATCAGAGCCATAGCAGGTAGCAGCCAACAGGAGGAGCTGACAGGCCCTTTTACTGTCTCTTCCCTACGTCACATGAAAGCAAAGAACATTTACTGATACAGTAAAAAAAAAAGGAAATCATTGTAATATAATTCTACATTTAACAGGATTCTGTCAAAGTGCACAATTGGGGCTCTTAGTTACAGAAAAAAAACACAATATGCAACCAAGAAAGAGATACATTTAAATACACGTTAAACAAAGAAAACATTAAAAGTTATATTCACAGCAATATCTCTAGTCTATCAACACCTAGTGAAGTAAAAGAAGACTTTTACTGACCATGAGCCACATCATCAAAAATCCTAAACTCTTAACCCCACCTGTGTGAAGTATAGCACTGCTACACCTACCTACATCTTTAGCAGACCAGTTAACACACATACACACATACACACCTGGAGGTATCTACGGTTACCCCGAGTTACATCTCTACATGTAAGTGCACAGGTGAGAGGTGCCAGCATCAGTGTGACAAGTTCTGTTGACAGAAGTTAGCAGTAGTGCAATGCTTACACTAGAACTCTTTGATAAACCCCCTTGGCTCCAACACGTAGACCAGACCGAGTCGTAAAAGTCACATACATACATGCACACCACTTATTCAGAGCAGTCTTCGAGTTTGATCTACAAAGGCTTCTCACATATACAAAACCACCCACAAGCCCAGTACACCAATGAACTAACATTGATATGAAACAGACACACTAAAGCTATGTATAATACAATAAACATTCAATTATATAAAAAAGACAAACAAGTATAACTTAAAAAAAAACAAAAATAAAATATCAGTAATGAGTGTAATAATAATAATTATAAGGGAGAAAAATAAGGCTAAACAGGGTTTGATGACACAGCTTGAGCAGGGAAAGGGAAACGCACATGGGAAGTGAAACAAGGTGATAAGTGGAGGGATGTGAGGAAAAGGGAAACAAAAGTAAATCCAACAGTGGCTGTGTTCCAATATTTTGGTACAGTCTCCGCTCTTTATCTCTCTCTTCATGACCACTGACACTGTGGAAGAGCAGCTGGTTGACTGTAACCACATTTTTATCAGGTCATTTTCAGTTTCAAGGAAAAGAATAAAAACAGAGGATGGTACTTTCTTATGTTCTTTACTGTACGGTGCTGTACTGTATGCACATGTCTGCGTGGAATGCAGTGGGTACGTGGTTAGAAATCTGACCTGGCTGCTTATCTGTCAGTCAAAAATAAATTTATTCTGCTGGCAGATCATTCTTGGCTCATTCTTGTATGGGCATTTTTCAGTTTTTGCCTCAAGGCACTGTTTTTGTTCATCGGCGCTATTGGTGATCATTTCAGCTCATTCGCGACCGTTGCACAGTAATAAAAGCACAGTTTTTGAGAGGTTTACTTGCAAACTGATTACCTGCTAGGGATCAGTATCAATTATGAAAACTCAATAATGTTATTGGGAGATTCAGCCCCTTTTAGTTTTGAATTAGAAATAAAACCACAGTAATACATCCTTAAAATCTGCAGTTAGGTAAACAAACAAGTTACTTATTGTCATTTTAAAAAGTTTTCTGTGAAAATATGTGCAAATATTACAGTTTATATGGTAAATTATTCTGAACTAAAGTTTACTTTAGCTTTTCACTGAGTTTTCAACCATAACCTCTTTTAGCAAAGGGAATTTGATCAGGTGTCAGCACAAGACATAAGTACTGAGCTGAAATCACATGAAGGGTACGGCTGAAAGCTCTGTGAAAAACTAAGACAGTGAAACTTGAGTTATAGAGAATATGTTACCTCAGATACGGTATCCTAAGGTTAAGCTCCAATTACATAATAATTAATTAATTAATTAAACAAGTAATCACACAGGTTTTTCCCAAATATCTGATTGGTTACCATTATCATCAGTTTTCTTTAATTCTGTCATGTATGATCCATTACTTCCCAACCTTGTGCAGTTACCACTAGTGCAAGGCACATGTGCCATGTTGATCTGACTCCACTTTAGCTCAGGTTACAGACAAGTCATCAGCATTATCCACCACTGAGCACTTACACAGAAGGACTATAACTATGGTACAAAACAGCAAAAGATTCACAGCACCACAGTGAGTATTGCTACATGATGCTGTGAGAAAATAAATTAGCTCAACGGTATTGTGGACTGAACTATTAAATGTGCCCGTTCTAAAGAAGCATGTGATTGTGTTTGTGCTGTGCATAGTGTGAACTTGAAGAGCTTAAGTTCCTTAATGTGTGCTCTCCTGTGAGAGTGTGTATGTGTGTGTGTGTGTGTGTGTGTGTGTGTGTGTGTGTGTGTGTGGTCTGTATGTTTGTTTATGGTCAGGGCCTTTGGTACTTTTCATTGTAGCGGTGGATGGTTACACAGCCATGGTAGGAGATCGGCCGCGGCATGGCTGCCACTCCTGTGATGATGCCTGTTGCCGGGTCGTAACACAGGATGGTGTCTGTTGCTTCGCCATTTTCCCCTCTGCCACCAAGGATGAAGATCTTACCATTGCACACTGACATGCCACAGCTCTCCTGCAGGGAGAGAGAGGCAGAAATGAAAGGTTGCAGCTTAAAAGTATCCAAACCAAGGATTCTTGCAACAAAAGTCGACAGTTTGCTCTTTGAATGCTCCGGATCCGCATTAAATATGGTACCTGTTTGTTAAAGGTTTGAACCACATGCATCCAATAGTCCTCTGCAGGGTCGTAGCAGAATATGGACTTGGTGAGACCACCACACACGTAGATCAGATTGTTGAGGGACACTGCTGTGATACAGCGCTTTGCGATGGGGATGTTGGCCCGTAGTAACCAAGAGTCTGTCTCTGGATCATAGCACTGAACCTGTGACATACAGTTACATGTAGTTAGTTGTGTTTTATCTTGGTAGAAGAAAGAAAAAGAAAGACATGTATATTTCTTTAACATATGGGTGGGAAAATAGATAAAAAATTAAATATATGTAGCTCATTCTGTGGTTTTACTGACTGTTCTGTGGGCTGACTAAATCCTGACTTTAATAGATAACATACAGCACGTGAACAACACAAGATCTCACGCCAACAGATAAGGACCTTTGAGAATGATGTGAATGGCCCCATTAGGAGACTCCAGAGATAAGTAGCTCCGAGGAACTGGAGTCAGCATGAACTCTATTTCCTTGAGGTCACGTAGAACCAGGTATAAAAAGATTACCATGAAGTTAGAGAAACATAGATTGTTGTGTTAACACTTATCAAAGTGCCTTAGATGTGCATTTTTGAGCCTGCGCAGACATAAACAAACATACCAGCTATTCCACTGAGGAAAAATGCTTCTACTGAAGTTTGGATTCCTGCGAATGTTTACCACCAGCATCCAGGCTGTCATTCAAAACATAATGAAACTATTCCAGAGTAGCCTGTCAAGTCCTGATCTGTGGGGTTATCTAAACAAAGTATTATCCAATTACAACACCGGCACATCCAAAATGGTTGATCTGCCTCATTCTGCTATCTTTCTTCTTCTTCCTGTACCCTTCCTTATTTCCATCAGCAACGTGTCACAACACATCACTGTCAGTTCATTAAATAAATGTGTTTCTATCAATGACTCATTGATGCTAAATTAAACACTGCACAACAAATAAATTGTCCTGGAGATAATGATCAGGATACAGTTAAAAAATGCTGTAAAACTAGCTTAATCGGGATCAACCAGACTGACAAGGATGTGGGTGTTATCACATCCGATAAAGTGCCAATCAGTGATGTTTAACAGGAAGAGATGCTGTTTCTGTTTCGGCGACTTAACTCACATCTCACCAGCCCCCTTTCAGATGCTAAACATGTTTATCATTATGAAGAAAAATGTTATCTTTCTGGGATACGTCACAACAGTGAACTAGGCTTACTTTATTTATTCAGTTGCCAGCAGAAAGGTACACTAGTATGCACTATTAATGTTTCATTATTCATCTAAATTATATAATCATGTAGAGTATGTAAACTAGATCAAGGCTGGACATACTGAATTCACTAGATATTTCTTTCCTATTTCATTTCCTATGAAGGAAAGACATGTTGTACATTTTATGTTGCACTGCTTCAAAACATTTATTATTAACGCAAACACGTCACATAAGCTTGTAATTTATATGCCTATTTAGCCTTTATAATACAGCCTAATTAAAATACCTCTCTTGACACCAACAAGATGAGTTATTGTTCAGACAACCCCCTGAGGAGTCAAATTTGACTAAAATCTGCCTTTGCATATGCTGTGTGTCTTTAAGGTATAATTACTGAAAACCGGTTATCTGAGATAAAAAGCACCTCAGTTATCATCACCATGCGCTTAAGTGTGTGGTTGGGCATTTAGCACACATCCATTTCCCACCTTGTCTGAACAAGTGTCATCGTCAGGCCCTCCACCTATGACAAAGAGCTTGCCGGCGCAGCTGGCCACGGCCGGAGAGCTCACAGCCTCTTTCATGGGAGCCACCTCTGTCCAGCGGTTGGAGAAGGAGTCGTAACACTCCACGCTGCTCAGGCGGCTCTGTCCATCGTAGCCACCTACCGCATAGACCTGAGGGATGACACACAAACAGATTATGAAATTGAGAGTTAGGGAAAATGACTTGTGTCATATATACTTCTCAACATACACTATGTACACATAAACACACATACACACAATAAGAGAGAGGTTTGTATTCATGCTTACTAGTTCATGAACAATAGTTTCTACGTCAGCACTTAGAGAACCAGTCTATCAGGTTCAGAAGAAAGATGACGTACTGATTCTGAACAAGCAACTTTATCCTTGTCCTTGTTGTTGCTGTTGCTCTTTTATCTGTAAACACTGCCCTGGTTCCCCGCAGGCACCACTGAATTTAACTAACCCTGAACTTCAACCTCAACTGTCAGAAACAACACAATACCTTGAGCCAGAACAGTGCCACAACAGCAGTTTGTGGAGTCACGTGGTGTCATCATAATCTGTTTATTCCCACTGTAATTTACATTCTGAATCATATTATCAGGCAGTAGACATATTTTGTTTTTTGTTTTTAGTAGAAAAATGAATAATTAAATCTGAACCACTAATCATAAACAAACATAAACCTTACTAGAAGCTAAAGCATTACAAGCTAGAGAACTGTGTTGACATAAGATATGAGCTCTAATAGGTGCCTTGCGGGTTATACATGTTTATCTCCTGGAGTGCAAAGAATGGCAAGAAATGGAAGAAAATGTAATAAAGGGAAAAGATTGTTAAAAAAAAGCTGGTAGAGACTCTTAGTAAATTTCTCTGAAAGGAAATCACATGTCAAGAATACACATTGAGCAGCATTACTGGTTGTAAGCATAATGCTGCTCATCAGGTCTTATGCAACAGAAAACCTTCAGGCTGTTCCTGTCCCTCCACAAAATCTGAAGTATAAACAAGTACAGAGGGCAGAGAGAGAGAGAGAGAGAGAGAGAGAGAGAGAGAGAGAGAGAGAGAGAGAGAGAGAGAGAGAGAGAGAGAGAGAGAGAGAGAGAGAGAGAGAGAGAGAGAAGGAAAGACAGGGAACAAAAAGACAGAAGTGGTAAGAGCACATGGATATTTGCATCCAACACCAGGGCTAACTGATAGCACTACCGCCTTTTATAACTGAAAAAGTGATACGGAGAAAAACAAAACAAAATCCCTTATTCTCTAACATCTCAGGTGGTAGCTCTAAAGTACTGTTGTCTGTGTGTGTCTTCGATGTGTTTTCAATGACAGCAACATGCTAAACTAGCCCAGTGCAACTGCCATACTGACTCACTAACTGAAATTTGTTCTTTTTCACACTGTCGATGCAGTAGATAACAAATGTTGACTACTGGTTGTTTGTTGTCACAAATTAAAGACATGCAAAAGAAACAAAAGAGAGATAAGAGGAGCTAATCAAGTACAAATTGTTTGGAGAGGTTTTAAAATGAGTTAATTTTTCTACTGGCCTTTGAGTTTCACATAATTTTAATCCACACAGGTTTTTACTTGCCCAGATTTCTACCTCCTTCATAATACAGTGGGGATAAATTCAAACAATCCCCTGAGGAATTTGAATAAAATGTGCCTTTGCATATTCTTTGTGTCTTCAAGGTATAATTGCTAAAACCATCTGAGACAAAAAGCGCCTCAGCTCTCATCAACTATGTCCTTAAGTGTGTGGTTGGACAGGGGGCACACATCTGTTTCCCACCTACTGAAATAGTGAACAAGTGCTGGCCAAGCTGGCCACGGCCAGAAAGCTGACAGCCTCTTTCATGGGAGCCACCTCTGTATAGCGGTTGGAGAAAGAGTTAAGGCTCCATTGAGGATATCCAGACACTAGCTTGTCTGAAGACGGTAGTCTTAGGGAGTGGGGGTTGGGTCGGCATCTACTCGGTTTAGATACACTGTGAAGTGTAACTATAACAATATAGGCACATTCCACATTCACTCCTTAATGATAGCACCTAACCTATATCGACCTGAGGTATGTGGCTATCACATAAACACCGAACCAAACATGATTCACGACTCTCTGTGGACACACTCGCTAACGACTGCACAAGCACATTCACAGCTTATTTTATGTCTAAGTTGAAACACTTACAATGGCTGAGTGATTAACAGTTTCCTTAGCATGCAGAGGGGTGTGACTGAGAGAGAAACAGAGAGACTGAGCGACTTCAGGGCGAAAACAGCTTAGGAGAACAGAGAGAAAAAGATGGAGAGATGGACTGACAGAGAGACAAAGAGAGAGAGCATTATGATGGATGAAAACAGCCGTCACAAAGTACAGCCATAACAGGGAGAGGAAAACAACTGGTGACCTATTTTTGCTTATACACTATGGAAACAAGACCAGTGCCACAGGACATCACAGAATACAGGACACTGAAAAGTGTGTTCTGGTACTTACATCCCAGTAAGAAACAAATTTAGAAGTTTAAACTTCAGGTGGTGGCAAGGAGTAAGTGATTGGATATATCAAATGGAAGGTCTAATGTAGGTGGTCTTATGTGTACAAATGAGGAAATATTAGATTTTCAACTGTATATGCAAATTGTTTGAATAGTTTTTAAGGAAGTCAGCACTGAGGTCGTTGAACAAGTACACGTGCTCATTATACAGGCTTGTTTACAACACTAAGCCATGTTTCTCTACACTTGCAACTGATGCATCAGTGCTGCACATCAAAAGGGGAAATTACAGACTGAATGAGGAAATGACTGGCTACAAACTCAGGAGGAGGGGGAACTGAATTCTGAGGAAAAAATGATTACAAAGAGAAACATGCTACAGACAGATAGCGTATCTTTTTGAGATGAGAGGGCCAATATAATCTGGAATGAAAACATTCAACATTCAAATGCATTCATTGGAAAAGGCCAATTTGTTACAAGATATGAGGACATGAAATGAGGTAAATACCATAGACTGATGGTTCTGGGGAAAAATGATAAAAAAACATCTCTCAGATAGACAGTGTCATTTATCTTCAGGCAGTAGAATGGGTAGTAACTAACTAAAGGCATCAAAAAGGATGAAGCCACTCGACTCTCAAGAAAAAAATAGACATAAAAAAAAAAGAAAATATGGGAGGGGAGCAAAAGAAAAGACAAAACCACATGTGTGTGACAGATACAGGAAGTAGTCGGAGACAAGAACCTCTCCTGGGATTTAACGTCTCTCAGGAATGTATTTTCCAAGAAAGGGTCAAACGTATGTGTTTATGCTTACATACTAAAGCTTGACTCTTACCTTGCGGGCCCTGGATTTAAGTATGGAAATACAGTGCATGATAATAATACGACTGATCAAAAGCTTTGTCCACTTATTTTAGCATCAAATAACTTTTAAATGAGAGTCAGCTGCAGATGAGTAACTTTAAACTTCCTTTTATGTTCTATAACTTTGTATGAGAGTTAAATGGCTGCCATGTCAGTCCATCTTGTTTTCACCATACCTTAATACATGACTCAGTTTGGAGTTAATTACTGACTTTTATAGCCACAGTGTGACCGTCCAGCTGATTACCTCACTGGTGTGGAAGACCAGTGTGTAGTTTGCATGCACGCATGTGTGTTTGTTGTTTCTGTGGCAAGGCAACTAAGCATTTTGGGTGTTGTTTAGAAGTCACAGAAAATTCAATACAGACTGGCCTAAAGCAAAAATAAAAAAAGTATGTTTGCACAATTGCTACAAGAACCCCTCCTGAGTCATGCCCTTTCTGACAAAGTAAATAAAGCGTTGTTTTAGCCCAAAGCTTTCCAAAGAATACCTGAACTTGTGCCTATGTTATTTACGTTTGTATACAAGTGTGTGTTCTTGTACACATGACAGCCAAAACACACAAATGAGTAATGCTTGGTTAACCTGAGTCATCTATGTTTAAACCAAGACAATCAGTGGATGACCTTCTTTACACAACACAAATAACAGACAATTACAGATCAGGAAGTTTTCAGGAGGCACACATGCCATTGTCATACAAGTGGTCAACATTTGTTTTGCGTTACAACCACAACTTCTACATGCTATGCAATGAAGACAGGCTTGACTATCCAGTTTAAGAACAATACAAAGTGCACAAAACATGTAGTTACAAATATTTTGCAGGTTGGGGTGGGATGAACCTATTTGATCTAATGATAGTTTCCTTTCTTGTAAATCGAATCCAACATACCATACGAACATGAACAGCCGTGCTCTGTATATACTTACAGAGCAAGTGTGCTAAATTATGCCTACGTATGCAAACCCAGCGTGTGTTTACAGGCTTATCAGGGCTTCTTGCAGCCATGTATGGCCACTTCAGGCTTATGTGTTTAAGCAGAGACACATGAGAAACATGATACGGGCAAGTGGACTAAGCCAGTCCTTAACTTGGAAGTGTGAGGTGCAGGCACACGTTCATTAAACTCCCACTGCCATCAAACAAGAATGTCAACCTAGCCATGTAACCTAGACTGTAAATAGTAACAACTCAAGAGCAGGAGCAATGATTGAGGATTAATGATCAGCTCACATGCTGACATTAACGTTAGTCAAATTTCCTAACCTAACTGGAGTTAGATCTTGGTTTTTATGCGACAGTTAACATATCGTACAGTCCTGTATATATACACTGTATAGGGAGCTACTGTCAGGTGCATATTTTATAATAGAAAAGGATATGAAAATGTTTAAAGTTTCTACAAGAGATACAAAATAGAGATGAAAATGTAAGAATAACTACAAGTGACGGTTGAACTGTTTTCCATGAGTAGGGTATGTAATGGGTGAACCAGCTGGGTTGTTCCAGTAGCCCAGGGACTTGTTTATATGCCGGTTTTAAATTGAGACCAACTTCTTTCTCTGTGTTTAAACTCTTCCTGTCTATCCGGGGTGTGTGAAAAGTGCTGGTACCGTCTGTTTACAAACCCTGGGGCAACAAACGGATGTGTCAGAATAATAAATAATATAATTTTGCTCCTTGTCACAAGGTGTCTTCATAGACCAACATGGAAGATCCCTCATAGACATAAAGCAGGCTGTAGTCAAATTTGACTGGAATTCCTGAGTGTGACTTCTTTTCTGCTACTGATGAGTGACTCAGGACTAATACCAGATATTTACTGTCAGTCATCACTAAGTATACAGAGCCTCTGTGTGTTTAAAATGCCTTTAAGCCTGTAAGTAAGAGAGTATCTGTGACAGTGAGATAAGACATGATTGTGAAAGATATGAATGTAGGTATGAATGGAGTCTTTAGCATTCAAAAAGCTCCATGGAACATTAGATTACCTTTCCAGCAGGTGATTCCACAGAATTTCCTCATTGTGTAAATGTCGGGCCCCTTGCGTTTTACCACAGGTAAGTTCATAACAATGTTGACAATCAAGACAATGTTGATACACCGCATTGTCTTCCTGCATTTGTACTTGTGTGTTAGGGGGTTACGGCATAGAAACTGGGCCATGCACGCAACATTAACATGATTACTGTGGGGTATATGAAAGGGACAGATGACACAGCTATCTAGAGTTGCGATGGTGCTATCAGCGAGTGAAATCTGACGGTGAACTATAAATCAGCTCCTATGTCAGGGGCATCCACATTAGGGTAACCATGCACCCTGATGCAGACTCATAAACCCAGCTTGAGACTCCCTCCTTACCTTGCCCAGTAGGACACCCATCTTGTGTCTCCAGCGCCCTTTGTTCAGAGAAGCCACTCTGATCCACAGGTTGAGCTGGGAGTTGTACATCCACACGTCCCTGCTGTTGATACGACCACCTAAGAAAAAATGACAAAAGACAAACATACAAGACAATAATTAATATTCAAAATGATAGTCAAGACAATCTTGTATTCAGTCGAGCAGCACAGGCATACAGTAAAAGTAGCAGCTCTGTTTTTTTAATCCAGTTGATCTGATACAAATGATTATTTAAAAATAAACCCAAGCTGCTCTTGGTGAACAGCCAGCTTTGGACAGTGTGTTTGTGTCAAAGTATTTTTAGATTTTACCGATTGTTTTTTATATTTTTATCTCCAAACAAGGTCAGAGTTGTAAGTGTTTTATCTAAATTAGACATACACATACATAGAGATAGTATCATGTTTCATTATGTATGTACAGATCTTGAATAACCATCCGTTTTTAAATTAACTTTAAAGCAAACATACCTTTATCAGCATCTTTTGCAGCTAACAGAGCTACTATAATACGAGTGCCTGTTCTGTTGTCTCTGGGCAAACATGCATTGTAAGAAGTTGTAGAGAATAACAGTCACCCGACCCGATTTCTAACAAGCCCTGACACGTGCCCTCGTTCTTTCAATAACCCCCCTTCCACACACACACACACACACACACCTGCCTGTTGATTCTCCAGACTGGGGGAAGAACTTAACTGAACTTTTAAAAAAACGAATAGGTAGGTGATGAAACATGGGTTAACCAATCAAAACCAGGGGTGAAAAAAAGACAAAATTAAATTGAAGAGGAAAAATCTGATATTAAATTTACAAGTCATTTGAAAAACTAGAGGAACTTTGTTACAGCTGCACTGCTATTAGATCCTGTAGTAGTTATCTTCTGGCTTTTATTCAATAATAAGTTCTGAAGAAATATATCATGGGTAAAGCATGGACACCAACAAGACTCAAGCACATAAACAGAAAGGTCAGTGACAATCTGTGTTATTTCACACCAGGGCTTAAATTTATCACACGGCAGTGATATATCAGTCAATAAAATACAGATTATGAAAATTAATATGAACACTCCTGGCTTCAAATAAAACCTCTCCCTTTAAAAACAGCTGGGATTCATACATTAATAATCTCCCGTAACTAGGATAAAAAAATGTCTCAATCCATTACATTTTGTTGTGGTAGTGTCTGCTATTTGCTGCTGGGTGTTTTCTTTGTACAGAGCACATGTGGGTGGCTATATTGTGCAATGATAAAGGCATAAAGAAAACCTGCCGGTGTAAACAAAAGGTGTCTAAGCCTCTTCTGTATTCACATGCAGATAAAGATGCATTTTTCCCCCCTATTGTTAGTTAGCTAACAGACAGACTAGACAGGTGGGTATAGATATTAGACTTGTGTTTCATCCTAACAATAAAAAAATGACTTCCTTCAAAAGGTAATCTTATTAAATAAATCAGTGGCTATATACTTCTACTTCTTCTTTGTAGAGGGGTAATTAATGTTCAGGAGTTTTAAATCATACTGTAGCACACAGACGACAGGAGACAAGGGAAGGAAGTTGGTCTCTGCTGGATAGTGGAAGAGCCAGACAGTCTACTGCCCTTAAGGCTTTTGTTTTTAAAGATTTGCATGAAAGAAACATGTCACAACTGTTGATGGAGGACGCACCACTTCAAAGAGAGCCTTGTAAACCTGGAAAGCTAGTAAAAAAACTTTTTTCACCAAGAACTCAAGTTGGTCAAGTCCCACCAGCTCAAATGAGGAAAAGCAGTTGTTAATGAGCACAAGTAGCGACTATGGGAGGCCCCAATATGATTGGTGCTTTCTGACAGCTTTGTTATGCATTGCTTACAGTTACATGCAGTTTTATTGATAATGTGATGATGGCATGCAACTCTCTGAAGGGTGTGATGTAAGCACATGTGCTTTGCTGCTCATTAGCTGATAAGATATTATCCAAATGTGATTTCCTGCAGAGGACTGAGATAGCAAACAGAATGTATCTTGTAAGATCAGATCAGAATTGAGCTGACTGTAATCTTAAGTACTCATGAACTCAAAACATTTGGGTGTTAATCCAGCATGCTCACTCTGCATCTGACAAAGAGGCTATGGAAGTTTTGTATACTGAATCGAGCCACATCCTATTTAAGACCACAGCTAACTGCAGCTGTGCTCGAGACTGGAGGCCCTCCAAGGTATTTACACCAGTTCCCAGAGTGAGGAGAGGGCCAGACAGTCTGAATGGATAGTTATGTGTGGGAATGTAATCGAGAAAGCAACGTAAAAATAAAGTTGAGAAGAGTATCAAGGCATATGGGGCAACAAGGAAAGAAACACGGGCAATGAAGATCATGATATACTTTAAAGTAGGCTAGTAGTGTGTATGTATATGTGTGTGAGTCAGAGAGACGGGGAGGAGTGGTGTGTTGACTTTTCCAGGCAGTGCTTGAGGGTAGATTGATAGCGAACACGTGAGGACTCGGCACAGTGAGAGCATAAAAAAGCATAAACACTGCACAGTCTTTGCTGAAGGGGAGAACATTCTTATTTTCTCTACATCTCCTTCTAATTTTTTTTTTTGTCCTTTTTGTCCAGTAGTGTTTTGCAGCTCATATAAAGCATGTTTGAGCATGAGCAGTCCTAGCAGGCACATTTGAACTCGATGCTCGATTCATATTCTTGGAAACAACTTCACAAAAAGACAAAAAGGCACATAAGACACCAGCTCTGCGAGGTTAGCTACCAGGGCACATCTTCAACCTGGCAAGACAGAAGATATGGCCACAATCTTCCCTTCTGTTCCTGAGTTTTGAGTTAAATAATGACCAGAAAGGTGTTTTTTTCAGAACATTATAATGTCACAGTGAAGTTGACCTTGTCAGCACTTCATTGTTATTTTTGTGTGGCTGTTTTGGCCTTCTTTTGGTTGTACAGCTTAAGACTGACAGTTAAGGGGGAGAGAAAGCGGCAAAGGGCCAGTGCAGTAAGGATACAGCGTTGGTAGAGTGGGGCGTCTGCTCTATCAGGTGAGCTACTAGAGCTTCTCATCACTTCAACATTTTGTCCTATTGGACATTTTTTTGAAATCTTGTCATAACTGGCATATTCATTCTTGAGTTGTGGCCTTGACCACCAAATTCTAAACCCTGGAGTCCAAGTGGACGTTTGTGCCAGATGTAATGAAATTCCCTCCAAGTATTCCTGAGATATCATGTTCACAAGAATGGGATGGATGGATGAACAACCCGAAAACAAAATGGTTGTACACAGCACACGTTCATATCAATGTTTGGCTTTAGAAACTACCTTTATCCTGACCTCATCAGTTAAGATGAATGATGTAATACTAATGTCTTGTTTAATTTAGATCCTTTTTTTCACCAAAGCCACACTTGGCCCATGCTAAGTTCCAAAAATGCATCAGCATTGCCAGAGGGCAACGAGAGCTATAATGTCTCAGAGTTAGGTTTATTTCAAGCTGATCACCCCACAACCTATTGGTGTAGTATACAGTCAAAAAAGGGATTTTAGACTGTTGCGTAAAGGAGATCCTAGAAAGTTGCTGAACCGATGTAAAAGGTGGTGACCCTGATGATTGGCTACTGGGAAGAGAAAAAGACTGAGCTGGCCAATGACGGCCTCTCTCAGCACTGAGCCAAGAGTAGGCCTCCAGATGTTGCTCTCATATTTTCCTTCAACTCTAACAGGCTGTGGCTGTAAAAATAACACAGGGCAAACAGCCACCATGGCCTTTCCTGCCACTCCACTGGGGGATTAGATGGCAAGCAAAGCACGGACGGACACTGACCATGTCCCTTAAGTGTGTAGTATTTTTACTTATTTTTCTTTTTGGGTATGACAGAGTCTTACCTTACAATTATTAAGTGAAACTGGAAATTTGTAAAAACCAAGACCATACTGAGTCCAACCACAGGAAAAGTATGTATAATAATGTTGGTAACTCGGCTTAAAATTGTCTTTTGGAATTGATTTAAAGTTACTAAAGGAAGTTAATACACACCTGCACATTGCAGTTGGACTGGTGTTCATTTCAAGTCTTGATATGCTATCACATGCTATTGAAACAAATGTAGCAGGAATCTTACCTGACACCAGAATGTCATTGCGGAGGGCGCAGACAGCATACTCTGATTTGGTGAACTCAGGTAGTTTGGCCAGTGATTTCCACTCTCCTGTGACTGGATCATAGCATTCAGTGTAGGGAAGGTTGAAGCCCCCTATTCTCTCACAACCCCCCACCACCACAATCACCTCAGAGAAGCCAGTCGACCTGCACAGAAGGAAGGAGGCATGGTAAGGCAGCGGGAAAGATGTGGAAAATAAGAAAGGGGGGGGGGGGATAACAACATATAAAAACAAAAACACAAGAAGAACATGTTTTAATTACAGACATGGTATCTAATTAAAATACCCTATATATGTAGGCTTATACAAAGGGTATGAGGACATACAAACATACGCATGTCAACACATTTCTAATTACAGAAGGCAGACATTTGTGCCAAGACATAAACGGAGTTGTGGTTTCACAGTTATATCTTCACTTATCATCAAGGCAAGTTCAGCTTACATTAAAATGTCTCAATCTAGGTTCAACAAAGACACACTTGGGGCTAGACCTAAGCTGAATTTCCATGATCACAGAGCTTTCCTATTGTTGGCTGTTCAACACATGCCGTGGATATGACCGCATTTCCTACGGGGGAGTTAATTAACAACAGCTTATTTTCTTGTTGTACCATTCAAAAAATACGGATGCCAGATAAAGACTACTAGTAGTTAATCTATATTAAAAAAAAATCCAGAACATTCCAGATACCACTGTCAGCATAAATGTGGCATGAAGGTATGTTTCTTTGAACTTTCCCCCACATTTCTCTGTCTGTTTGCTCAGCATGTGATAGAGTGAAGATCAGATGCAGGTACGAAGTTAGGTTGGTTTCACAGGCTTGTATACATTTAAGAGACAGCCTTGGGGTGTGTGTGTGTGTGTGTGTGTGTGTGTGTGTGTGTGTGTGTGTGTGTGTGTGTGTGTGTATAATTTGATTCTAAAAGGCTTCTAAAAGAGAAAAAAAAGCCCTGCTGTAGACACCGAAAGGGGAGAACCAGGCATCTGTTTTGAGCAGCAGCGGATTTGGCCCTCAGGGCTAACGAAGCTGACAGTGCAGGGACTAACTGCCTGATTGGCTTGCTGATCTGAACAGATCTGCCTGGATACTGACTGACACAATACACCTACCTCTCTAGCCCTAATATACATCACACAGCCTTAATAACTGACAACTGTTCACCAACACTTCAAAACCTTACAGCAGGTCTAACACACATAGGCAGCTGCACTGTTGTTTGCTGCACAGAAGGCTACCATATGGTCGGTTTTGTATCTCATTCATACGTTTTCAGTCAACGCCAGCCTTTGTCCTTTTATCAAATACGACATCCAACTGGACACTCTACAAACAAAAGAAGATAAATAAGACACCATTTTAGGGCTGCAACTAACAGTTATTTGCATTATTGATTCATCTGCCAACTATTTAAGATTAATGTTCTGGTCTATAAAACGTCACAAAGTAGTGAAAAATGTCCAGTGCCCAGTTTTTTAAAGTCCAAGGTCTTTAAAATCTTGTTTAATTCAAAACATTTCAAAACTCAAAGATATTTAGTTTAATAGGATATAAAACAGAAAAAAAAGCGAGACATCTCCATATTTGAGAGTCTGAAAACGGCATTTTCTGCTATTTTCGGATAAAAAAAATTACTTACTTACTGAAACGTTTCTTAAAATAGTTGGCTATTTTTCTGTCGATTGTAATTAATGAGTCGACTTATCATTGCAGCTCTAGATCATTTGGTAAATAGGTATAGTGAACAGGTAGGGACATTTAAAAAACCAAAACACATCAGCAAGGTGAGTTACACTGCTGGTATGATAACAAGACTCAACATTTCATGATTGCTGTTTCTTGCATCACATAATTTTTTTTTCCAACTTACCAGTCTCTGTACGGACATGCCCTGCCTCCCTCATTATCATTTCCATTTCAAAATGAGGTTACAAAACACAGCTCAGTCAATGACACACTTGTCTGTTCAGCACAACAACACTCCTTGTCTCTCTCTCTCTCTCTCTCTCTCTCTCTCTCTCTCTCTCTTACACACACACAGATGCAACAACAACAATGCCATGAGCAGTTCATGAGCAGGTTGTAACCTCTAGCTATACAATGTGGGATTAAAGATCAACTAACAGCTTAAAAACACATTTTCTTATCTCACTCTGACCTCTGTCCAGTGGAATATGTGTTTTAAGACAGAAAGGCTTTCAGAAAAGATCAAACAAAATCTGCTTTCTTTTTTAATAGAAAAGAAGTGGTGCACAACAAAGCAGAGGGGATGTTGTGACTGATTGATGAAGTACTGACTGTTTCCTTATGTAGACAACAACTGGGTTAGAGTATCTGTCATTCCTCATAACTAGTAAGTCAACATTTCACTTACCTGCGTGGACGAGTTCTGGGAGACATCATTTCATTTCCAAGCACATGGTAGCGTCTGGCCTCATGGAGAAGCTGGTAGCACTCTGGAGCATTCTGGATGAGCAAGTCTCCCTCCACTGTCTGGACAAAGTAGTTGGGGTGCAAAAGGGGCAGGCGCACATTCTGCAGCAGGGCCTTCAGTATGGGCTTTCTGTGCTCCACATTATTGTACACCCATCGCATCACCGCCTCAAACACCACCTCCTCCTTACCGATGGACAGCTCATCACTGCCAGTGTACTCTTCCAGCTCCTCCTTGCGTAGGTCGAGGAACTCCTCATGCTGCGCCACCTCTGAGAAGTTGGCCAGGGCATAACTGCGGCAGCGGCTGGCTAGATGCTTCAGGGAATGGGCATCTGCGAAGCGCTGGATGCCCAGGCAGTTGCACGGGTCCAGCTGGTCCTCCAGGAACTTGGCACAGGCATCACGCAGTGTGGCGATCTGGAAGAGGCTGGAGGTCTCAAAGAGGAACTGGACATTCTCGGTGGTGATCTTGGCACGGCCGGTGTAAACATAGGTGAGGAAGGAGTCCATCGCCTCGGCCAGGATGCCATTGATCTCGACCAGCATCTCGCGGCTCTCGCGGTGATCATTGCAGAACATGGCTCTGAAGTAGGAAGAGCAGGCAGAGAGCACAGCACGGTGGCAGGGGAACTCGCGGCCCTGCACGCTGATCACAACATCGGTGAACAGGCGGCAGTCACGAAACTCATTGAAGACCTGCAGGATGCCGTCTGAGTGGGATGAGCCAGAGCAGAAGTCCAAGACATCCGGGCTGGCTAAAGTTTTGGAGTCAACCTCAAACACCTTAGGAGATAAAGATTTGAAAATGTAATTTTAATGAGTTGAGACAAAAGCTGCAAGATAGAAAACAAAGAAAATGTTTGTTTGTTTTTGTTTGATTGTCAGCACCTTGCGTTTGACAGCTGGTGAATCTCTGATCCCAGATTCCTCCCTGTTCATCCTTCTGCCCAGAATCAACACCATGGCTGCCGACTTCAACGTAGACCTTCTCTAAACTGTAAGATGACCTGAGGATGGAGAGCAAGTAGAATGGCACTGTTATTTTTCTCTATATACTATGGCATCCTTTCAGATCTGGTAGCAGGGGATATCCAGGAAAAGGTCATGAATCATAAATAGAAACTTAATTGGATCACTGGAGTACAAATCGAGAACATTCACCACAGAGACAAAGCACTCACAGAGCAAAGCCACAAAGCATGTGTAAAGAAGTAGGAAAAAACATGTGACTCCCGCAAACAATTTCTCTCAAGCCCATGGGGTAATGCTAAAATGTCTGACATCAATAGTGTACGAAAAGCAGTTTCAAGGAATGAAATCTGAGCTGCGCACACATTTGCATGGTAGTTCCTCTAGCTAGCTCATCACTGCTGCAAAACATTTGTTCCCTGCAGCACAATGAACTGCGTGAGACGGAAGATGACAAAGAGGCACACAGGCGGGAGAGAGGTTGAGCAACGGTTGGAAGGCCTACCTACATGTCAGTCAGGTTTGTTTTGAAACAGAGTGGGGGCAGGGGTGCTATCAGACATAACCTTGTTTGATCAACAAGTGCAAAGTCAGTGCTACTGATAACATTTACTCATATTTACTGTCTTAGTGAAACCTGCAGTCTTAAGACATTTGTCTCTTTTAGAAAAAGGTCAACAAAGCAAACAACCAAAGGTGCATCATGAATTATGCTTGTTTATGCCTTATCTTTAAGGCTTGGGACAGCATGTACTCAAGTTCTTGAGGATATTTGATCAAAACATTAGACTCTCTTATCTATGACCCCACTACATGTGCTAAGGTTGGCAGCAGGTCTAGCCTTTGCTCCTGTGAGGTAATTTATCTCGGGTTATTTTTAAACTTTGGCTCAGCCTCGGCACGCTCAACCTTTTCACGTGCGTTATATTTCCAAGCTGCAGCACCTCCTTTAAGTTGTTATAAAGAGGACAGGTTTATCCCGAGGTATCTGACGCATGATATATTGGCTTAGTGACTAATTCCCACTGAGGAGGACAAATACAATAGTATTATATCATAAGAACGTCATAAAATGAAATAAAGCATATTTTATGGTGTAATTGTGCTTTAATTAGCTTACTGTTATCCAGGTGAAATAAAGTCAACTTGAAATTAACAGAGGCTTATGTCAAAATAATACACCCAGGATTGTGTTGTTGTTGCTATTTTAGAAATACATATATAATTTGTTTATGTCATTATTTCAGTACTAATTACAGACAATAAAATAAAATGTATTTATGCATGCAGCCATATGAGGTTGGGTTAATTGGACAAAGGATACTTGCCTCGTGCCGACCGTTAGCCCTTGACAACAAACTTTTTTTAAAAAGTAGCTCGAGCCACTGCGTTACTCGGTAAACTGAGTCAAATTTAAACGGAGAACCAGAAATAATGCTAAATTTAAAGCCTCATAAACGTTAACAACATCCCTCACTATAGCTGGATAAAAGTTGCTTACCTTATGCAGCGGTTTTTTTCCCCAGAGCAGGCTTCCTCTTCAACTACAAGTGGAGGAAAAACAACAACAACAAAAAAAAGTTTATAAAAAATGTATCTATATCCTAAAGAAGTTTATCAGTATCTTTTACAGTATCTGCCCTCGAACAGTTATGGCAAACAATGTAGGCTGTAACATAGCCGGGACATTTTCATTTTGAGGTTATGACAAAAACAAAGAGCTCTAACTGGCTAACAGTAAACACAGAACCCATTTATAGTTGTCAGGAGAGAGAGAGAAAAAAAATCCAGCCCACTCAGCTGTTGGTCCCGTTGCATCCTGGGTACCCGAGTTCAAGTGGGCGTGTGGTGTACTGTTTCCTCTATAAGAAACGACACTTCCCAGGCGCCTCTAGTTCTCCACGTGGCTGTCCTTTGTTTGCAAACAAACTGAACTTTAGTGGAGAAAAAGTTCATAACAAGAAAGTGGCGGCGATTGAGCAATACTCTCAAAACAACAACAGTTTGATGGCGTTACGTGTGTGAACGCGTAGACGGTTAGCAAGACAGGATTAACCGTGTATGATAGAGGGAAACGAGATTAAATACCAGCCATACACACAGGCAAGGCATATGTGCCTAACAAAACAATAGCTGTAATGTGATCCTATGGACACGTGAAGACAGGGTGAAACAGCATGCTACCATTTTTTTTTCCAGGTGAGAAGGAAGGAGGATCTTAGTTGGAAGAAAGGATGTCACAACTTCCTCACCCTGTTGCAAAATATATTTCTGAGAGCCCCCAGCTGTGTTCCCTGAACAGTCCACCATGTTATCAATGACCCAGTTTACACTTTGTTCAACCACGTGCGTAGTATTGGGCCCTTTACACATCATACTTCTGTCAGTGATAGTTAATGTCTGCGTATAGAACATCTATATATGTTATATTCATGAACACATGGTTATTAGAAACACAAAGTGCTGTCTCTGCCCTTTTTACACACCACTATTGTACATGAATCTTCAGTCCCAGGTCTCCTGAAGTCGTACAGGTACAGTGAAAGGGCTTTTTGTCACCCTCAGTTATACACACTAACTGGAACATCCGTAAGTCGAAACAATAATTCAGCAACGGATGAAATGGTCAGCTTCAGGAAATGCACTTAATGAGCTCAAGTTAGAATACTGCACAAAGAAGTTTTTTTTTTTTTTTTACCTCCGGCCACCTGCTGTATGAGTTCACTGGAACACAACCATGTAATCGTAAAGAACATCATCAGGAAGATTAGCAGGAAGCATCAGTGCCAAAAGCAAACATCTCCATGGAAATCAGTCAATACAGAAATGAATCAGACATTAGTAGAGTTGTGTAATTACAGTGGCATGGAAATTGATATAGACATGGCAAACAGTAGAAAATGTGATTCTTTTTATGCACGTCTGATCCACCTGGAGGTGCAGAAGGGTTGGCAGTGAACACCCGGGAGCAGAGGTTTAGAGCGTGTGTGACGGAAGCAAGGTTCAGTGGCGTGTTGATAGCAAGTAAACACACTTACAGTTCATTTGCTGCAGGGAAAAGCCGTGGCGCAGCCCAACGGACAGACTAATGTGTCCCTCTGCTGTTGACTTGCTGTACCAGTTACAGATTGCGCACATCAGAGACAGAAATAAGTCCCTGGAGCCAGGATTTCTGACTCATCACTATCCACCACACCTTCCCTAAACAAGGGAAGGTGCTCTCTTCTCTCCTCTATAGCGCCTTAAATTGCCAAGTCAGTTTTCCATTTGTTAATGATCTTCTTGGACATCCAGTTTTAGACAAACACAGCTTTGAAGGCAATCGGAGCTAAGTGCTTTGTTACCATGGTTATAAAACTGATTGTCAGGCGCTACATGGCTTTTACATTACATAATGATGACACAATACATATTTGGGTCGAACAGTTTATTTAAAAAAAACAAATTATGGGATTACAGATGCCTCAACACTGAGACATAAACTTGGAAAACAAGGGAGTTCAGCATATTCTCATTTGGATTCACAGAGCAGTAAAAGCTCTTATGACCAAGCAAAAAACTAAAGTCAGATTCATCTACAAAACATGCTTAGTACCAACTCAAAGGCAGTGGCCGTGCCACTTACAATTTTGAACTAGAATGACAAAGGAGTGTCTGAGGTGAAGCAAACACAACAAACAACAAGGGCTGAGGACATCCTCTGTATTGTTTCTGAGAATTTGGGGGTTTTAACAAGTTGAGGAGGAGTTTATGTTCTGTACTTTATACACACACACACACACACACACACACACACACACACAGCGTTTTAGAGTCTCTGCTGCTATAGGCCAAAACAGTTGGATAGAATAACAGGATTTTAGTGCATGTCTACCAGAATTACATTCTTGGTGTTGTGGTGAGTGAAACAGCATTTAGACAATAAACACTAACAAACTATATATTTTAAATGAATATATTCATTAATTCATAAAAAGGTTCTCAAGGTTGCTGGGCTGTGCTGGGGGAATTTGGACTCATGACCTCAGTACTTCTAAAATCCTTGCTACTGCCCTTGCAGTTGGTAGTAATGCCGTTGAAGATGTTTTATGTATAGGTATGGAAAATGCAAGTGTCTTTATGAAACAGTGATGTGGCTGAGTCTCCTGTGCTGGTGTAGCAGCTGCATTAGAGTATCAGAGATCTCCCTGTACCTCAGCCCATACAGATATGGCGCAAACGCCCTTGGCAGCAACATGAAAACACACATGTTGACCGTGCTGACCCACACACGAACATCTTGACTTATGTCTTTCCTATGGAAGAAGAAGAGCTCCAGGGTGAAGACAAAGCCGGGGGCGAAATAGAGCAGGAGCAGAACCCCATGAGCCAGCAGCGTGACCCGGGCCCTTGAGAAGCGCCTCTGCCAGATTCCATGGGTCTTTGTTACCATGTAGAGCCGAATGTAGCAGTAAAAAATGAGTGTAGCACAGATGAGAGCAGCCACAAAGAAGTAGGTGTGGATCCCCACTGTGTTCTTTAGCTGAATGAAGCCGAGGGAGATGAGGACCAGACACACAGGCACCTTTTCGTGGTGAATTTCCCTCCCTGCCTCCATTATGATCAACAGGGTGAAAGGGTACACCGCCGCCACCACCCACACCCCCACCAGTATGCGGTGGGTGCGGGCAGGTGGAAGAATGTCATGGTAATGGAGAGGCCAGCGAACCGCAGCGTAGGTGTCCGCCACCATAAGGGTGACGGTGAGGATGGCACAGCAGTAGGCGGTGACAGTGACGGCGGTGACCAGCTCACAGACCAGCCAGGGTATCTGAGCTCCCACAGCGTTACAGATCACCGTGGCCAGGTTGAGGATGAGGAAGAGCATGTCTGCTGTCAGGGTGTTGGCCAGCAGCAGGTAACGGGTCTCCTGACGCAAGGCACGAGACAGGAAAATGCACGCCAGGAGAACAGGGTTGGCTACCAAGGTGGCCAGAGTGACGACCGTGGTAGGGATGAAAAAAAGTTCTAGATGCCACCTCCGCAGGCTCTCCACCCAATCCTGCGTGATGTTTGCAATTTGTATTGATGGCGTCATTTTGTCTTTTGCCTTATGGAGACACAAATGCTCCAACTGAGGTGTGGGTTTTATGGTGTGTTAGCTACTTCCTCCAGCAGCTACCTGTGAATAAAAACATCATAAATTACTATCAACAATCAGAGGCTACGTTCACACAGCAAGCCTTGGCAACCCCATTCTGATTTATTTCCTGAAGTGGCCTGCATGATGAATATTGATCTGCAGTGGCATAAAAGTCACTTGTATTTTGATATGTTCACATTGCAAAAAAAAACCCGACCTGTATCTGATTTGGACCACATATGAAAGTGGCCCAAATCAGAATTGTAAAGAAGAATTGTGATTTGTGCTGTTCACACTGTCATGAAAACAAAAAAGAGATCTGAGTCACATATGGGCAAAAAAATAAAAAATTAAATCTGATTTAGGTCACTTTGGCCTGCAGTTTGAACAGTTTTAGTGTGCCACCTTTAAAATACAACCATGTAAATGCATACAAACGTAACATATATAGGCTATTTTTTCCTACCTATATGAGCAAACATGAGTCTCGACATGGAGTGTTAAAATAAAGCCGTAACTTTGAATTATGACCTTTATTGTCTTTAAACTATATCTCTGTAGGTGTTCATATATCATCAGCTTCATGTACTTCAGGGCCAGCTGATAATATATACATATTCATGCAGTGCTTTGATTGACTCTTGTTTAAAATGACATTGTGGTTATGCTCCAGATTAAAATAGCCTGGATGATTTGGCCAAAATTCAAATATGAACACCATACAGGAATGGACTTTGCCCCTTGAGGGTTGTTGATGAAAACAAATGCAAATGATGAAGTTATTTTAGTTAGTAAATAATCAACTCAATGTAAGAAACATTAAATATATATATATTTCTAATGTTTCTATTACATTAAAAAAAACATTACAATTGACTTAATTTGCAGTTAATTTTAATGCATTTTACAGCCTACATTCTCAGGTGGGGAATTAGTATTTAATAGATAAAAGATTAGAGGGGAATAATACAAATATAATTATGCCACCGCCCCCCCTCAATGCTAACAAATGCTCAAACACAAAAACTGAAAATCACTTGCTTCAGCTTAAACTTTGCGCTGACACACCTATTGACAACTTATTGATTGGCCAAAGGTAAGTTTTCTTACCTGATGTCCAGAACAGAAAAACCTCACTGCATTTTACATCCACTAGGCTTAACGCTTCTATAAATCAATGGGTGTGTTGTACAACTCGTCTCACCCGCCGGCCTTATCTGATGTACTCTTTGTTGACTCACTCAGATAATATAGGGATGGGGAAAGATACAGCCCCTTGGTTGTCACATAGTAACAGGGGGGAGCATTCATCCTCTCTGCTGCCCTTTGTGCTGTTGCTTTTTCAGTGTTTTATACCCAAGATGTTTTAAATCTGATTTGACCGCAAGAACTCGTTTCAAAACCATCTCAATTACATTGATTAGAGTCACATTTCCTTCACATTTCCTCCTAGCATCAAGGCACTTACTCCCAAATTGCTTTGGAAGTCAAATAATTTTTGACAGTGGAAAGAATGAATGGGAGAAACTTTTCACCATTACAGTCTTGCATATAGAGTCCTCATCTATCAGCCTAACCTCACACTGGCGTCATCACACCTCGCATCCTGCCTGATGTTGCAACGTAGATCAACACAGAAATAATCTGAGAGGGTTCACTCACTCAAATACGTTGCTATGATGGCTACATTCAAAAGAGAACAAGCTACGTAATGATAAACACAACATCATGTCTCCATGTGTGTTTTAGATTAGAATTTCAATAGCACTTCATGACCAACCGGAGTTCAACAAACAGTTAAAAGGAAACATTTTATTAAACACCATCAGATATGTCATTTTTTGTCTAATCATTTCATTTCCCCTTTCAAATATTCTCTCAGTCCCTTCGCCACTATGACCTCTTTCTCCTATTCCTGTATCCGCTTTTCCCCCCAGTCTCTTCATCCTCCTCTTCTTCCTCATCATCATCATCATCATCATCACTATCAGCTTCAATGCTGCCCAGCTGCGGCTCCTGTTCCTGCCATTCTCTTGCCATCAGTCTTTTAAACACATCATACTCCTCCGCTGATGCCTTGGCAACATCTGCAAGGAAAGTGTCCTGGTCCACGTTGAGGATTGTGTCCAGTTTGGGGTTGATGATGACCGTCTGTCCACGCTTGTCTGGGGTTTGATACAGCCCCCTGCGCTCCAGAAAACAGTGTCGATGGCGCACTTCGTCCAGAGTGAAACGGAACAGTTTGTACTTCGCCATCGTTGCCTGTTTGACACCCATTCGAAAGTAGACGTACTGTGGAGAGATGGGTTAATACACGCTGTTACACACAACAAACACTTATCAGATTGGAATGACAGAAAACGCTTAGAGTTAACCCCAAATAATGACTTATAATGTTACCTGTTATACAAACACAATGCACCTACAGCAAGAAAGTAACAAGTAACTCACCAGATCATGTTATAAATATGTAATTATAATTTAAAAAATGATTATATATTGCTGAATATCAAATTAAGCTGAAATGTTCTATCCTGTAGAGAGGGCCAAGTCATACACAACTTTATAACTTACACTATAACCCATTCACAGCCACTGTTGCCCAAGAGAGTTCAATTATGGCCACCAGAGAGAGTCCTATAGCAGAGTCCCAATGCTATACTACTAAGCAGATTTGGCCTATAAAGTGTGTACACACTGGAAAAGTCAAATCTTATCAATGCCTGGTTTGGTTGTTGTTGTTGCTGTTGTGGGACACTGCTGTCTTTTACAGCGATGGTGGCCTTTTGAAAAGATGTTTGATCAAGTTTTGAGGAAGTCAATAAATCTGCAGTCTACCATGAGAACAGCACTTTACCATGGGAACTGTTGCCTGTCTGTCAAATTTAACGTAATTGTACTGAACTACCATATATTTTAAATAGGCGCGCAAGTAATGATTCCTGAATTTCTGATTCCGTTTTGATTTAGCGATTAATAATCTATTCTATTAAATGTCTGAAAATTGTCAAAAGAAATAAAAGCCACAATTTTCAAGGTTATCTCTTTGTTTTCTCCAAGTAACAGCCCAAAGATTTTACACTTGAGGAGCTGGAACCAGTGAATGTGTTGTTTGATAAATGACTGTTTACATTTTTCAAAAGTAATATTTTGTCGATTCACAAATGAATGAATTGACTAATTTCAATTCTCTTTGTCTCATTAGTAAGTCTGTAAAACATCAGTGCCGACTATGGCATTCCTCTTGTCTGGTTTACATGCTGACCTGAAACTTGTACTCCAGCTGATCCGTGTTTTCCACTACTATGGCCGGACTTTCTCTGAGGATGTCCTTGACCTGCTGGACGGTAAACAGGCACTTCTCCCTGAGGAACAACACCACATTCTTTATTGTCTTCACAGGCACGATCAGGATCTGGGGGTAATGGGCCACCAATCTCTGAAGACTGCCTAAAGGGGGATATAAGGAAAATTACCAGTTTGATAATCACACAGAGCTCCTCATTAGTATTGAGTACTCAGGCCTTGAAGTGCTTCTATTTAATGCTTCAATAATGATAATCATGATAAATTGGGCTGCACAAATATGATCTCACCTTCAACTAAACCAAGTTTCCGTAGGTTGCTTAGGCGCTGCTGAAGTTGCGAATCCTGGACGGTGTAAAGCTCAGGACATTTCTCCAGCAGTTTGAGCACACTGGAAGGGTTGAGGCCCAACACAAACAGAGCTGTGAGAGTTGACAGAGCATGTTTGGCAGCACTTCCTCCTTTGAGTTTGGACATGGTGTCGTAAACCCGCTCTGCCTGGGTGTCTGTGAATCCCATGTCGAGCAAAGACTGTAGGGGCAGCTCTGTGTCCGGCTTCCTGGATGAAGTACTGACTTTATGGTTGTGTTGCATTGACTGCAGAGTACTCTGACTGGTGGAGGAACACAACCTGCACTCGATGCATAAAGGCTGGAGGAGACATCGGCCCAACTGAGGTGGAGTAGAGGGGGCATTTCTCACCATCCACCGAAGAACCTGGTGAAAGGAAATAAAGGCTATAAACACTGACAGCGGTTCAGTGCCTGTTTTGATTCCTGTTGTTCTACTGTGGTGAATAGTTATACAATGGTCACTGTTATGGCAGCAGACAAACTGCAGGAGAGAAGTTAGCAGAATAAACAAGATATCATTAGCGTAAGTTAGCAAACATGAAGGTTATAGCGGAAGTCCGTGGGCTGTCTGGCGGTAAAACTTTCTACGACATGTTTGGTGTATTATCAAATGCACTTAATTTAACTATTCATTTTATATTATTATGAAGAAATATCAAAATGGACAAGTTTTGTATCGTCCTGGTTCACCTGACGTGCAGCAACTCGGGTGCCCATGCTTGTCCGTCGTATATATACTTCCGTGTTTCAGCTTCAATAAAGGGTTATAGAGAACAATGGTTCCGCTGTGCTCTACTTTCTTCACGGAGTTTACAAACAGGGCGCACAGCAAGTAAATATCACATTTGAATATTAACCATTATTTGTATAGGTTACATTAAACGTTTAATGTGTTTTCAAAAGTACTCTGTATGCTCTAAAAAGCAGACCACCATATGCCTGACAGCAGTGTAGATTCAGTGTGGATGTAGGACCAAACCAATGAGACTGGAGGTGTATTTGAGTGATTTATTAAACAAAAGATTATTCTGCCTCTTGTTGCTTTCTTTTAAACCTAAACCTTTACTGTTATGAAAATTGTTAGAAAGAAATAAATGCTTATTCCACATTTATTAATCAATCTAATTTATATATGACTATAGCTGCAATATAAGATTACTGACTGGTATTATTTTTTTATTAGTATACTTTGCAGAATTTGGTTTTTCTACAGATTCCTGACAAGTTAAATCCACTTTAGGGTCATTCTGTTTTTGAAATCTGCAGTTAAAATCAGACAGCCCGGTCAAACAGCTGGTGCTATCTGGTACTTGGTAGAAACTGATGTAATAAAATGTATTGCACTATTGATTTTCTGTCTTTACTGGCTGCTAAAAGACTATAATGTTCAAATGAATTAAATAAACAAAATCACCTCACAGTTCAGATTAACAGGCAATTCTTCTAGTATATATAATATATAACATGACAAGAAAATATAAAAAAATGTTTGTGGTAAATATTTATTCATGTATAAAATAAATAGATAAAATATTGTAAATATACTTACATTTTTAATTAAAACATTCAAGATTAAAAATCATGACCTAAAAAAAAAAAAAGACAGTTATCAAACAAAAACTGGATCTATAAAACAATTCCCTTTAACTTTATCTATTTCTCCATCAAACTAAGTTCTCTATGGTTTCTCTGAGGTATACAACTCAAGGTTGTAGTCACTTGTGTGTTTTGGTGGCAAAGCTGGATCTCTGTGAACCATTACTATGATTTTAATGCTTTAAATTTCCCCTAAATCCATAAATAATACAATTGATTAAATAAAAAGGAAAAATATTCATTACATTGCAACCAACAACAGCTTGACAATTATATTCATTACACATGGTAGCAAGCGGTGTCTACTTCATAAAAGTCCCATTTGTCTCTAAAAGCCAAAAACAAGCTTCCCTTTTCTTATTTTGCACTTTACATCCTCTTTGCACTGCTGCAGACTAAATGGACGGACCATCGGGCTCCACTCCCTTTAAATTCAGTCTTTAATCCTCGTGGAGATACTTCTGAAGCTCTGTTTCTAGGGCCACCATTGACAACCTGTCATCTTCATCTTCCTCCTCCTCCTCCTCATCATCAGGAAGAGTCTCATCACCTTGGTCTGGGAACAAGCCATGCCTGATGTACAATTTAGGACTGGACTCCTGGTACTGTGGTGAGCCTGTTAAAAGAAGAGGTTCCAGGTCTTTAATATACACACCTGAGACTACAGATTATACAGATTATCTATGATAGTCATCAAAAGGAAGCGTATACTCAATTACCGGTACATTCATTTACAGGAATTGCAGAAATGAAAAAATGAAAATGATATGAAATTACAGGTGTAAACTCGTCATATCTGAAGATGAACATGTCTGGCCATTGTCAGTCCAACTCTAGTGTCAAAGAGTACTCACAGTAGGACTGAGTTGTAGGGACCACCTCTGTCCAGCTGTACTCTGAAAGGGAAATAGGCTGGCTGATCCAGGACTGTAACAGCAGCTGGTCCAGAGTCATTCTCTGAGCGGGATCAGGGTGCAGCAGCCCACATAAAACACCATGCAGGTCTGACAGTGTACAGAGAAATTAAATTAAATTCATAAAATGTTGTTGGTAACTGAAACATTATGACTGTCAATGAAAACTACTACTACTAAGTACAGCAGTATACCTTGAGAGAGGGGGAATGGGGGCTTCAGTTTGGCATTCAGGATCTCCTCCACGTCACAGAAAGGGTTCTCACTGAATAGCAGAGTGTAGAGCAACACACCAAGAGACCACATCTCCAGCTCTGGACCCTCATAGCTACAACAGAACCCCAAAAAGGAGGCAAAGAATAATTAAATAAAGCTTATACTTTACATTAAACGTATACAAAGAAACACATGGCAGCATTTTATTCAACATTTAATTAAGTGTTACTGTATGGCTTTTCTAACTTTACGATCAGTATATCCTTGAAGTTAGTTTAGTTATAGATTTTGAAGATTAATGGGTCATAAAAGTCATACAGGACTGGAAAACGGTGCTCTAAACTAGATTCTGGTGTCAGATTTAATGCTTTGAGTGAGCAGTTATTCCCCTTTTGACCTAAACCATCTATAAAAAGAGACCATTACAATATTGAAAGTCCCATCTGTTGTAAAATGAAAAGGACCTATAATTCTCAGCGATTATGTACGTACGGATTCCCCTGAAGCACCTCCGGGGAGCAGTACTCCAGTGTGCCACAGAAATTGTAAAAAAGCTTCCTGGGAGCCATCATGGCAGCAGAGCCGAAGTCTATCAGTCGAATGTGGAAACATGTGTCGATGATGATGTTCTCATCTTTTATGTCCCTGTGAAGGATGTTCTTAGTCCTCAGATAGAAGACAGCGGCCACCAGCTGGGAAGAGATAGAACCTCCAGTTTAGGAAATGAATGCTTCACATGTCAGAGCCCATTCTCGTGTCGTATGTATTTTCTTGGCTATAAACATACCTGTCTGAAGATGTAACTGGCCAGGGGCTCATCCAGTCTTGGCTGCATATCTATGAATTCAAAAAGGTCCAGGCCATCTCCGTGTTTCTCCATCACCATCTGGAAGTAACTCCCATTCTCAAACACCTCAAGCACCTAGTGGCACACACACACACGCGCATACTCATAAATCCATAATTTAGCATAATGAATGAAGGTTTTTACACTGCTCTGATGTGACAACCCAGTTACCTTGACTATGTTGTGGTGCTGTACTCGTGTCAGTATGGCAATCTCCTGGCTGACTCGTCCCAGCATGGGGTCTTCTACCCAGCAGTCACTCACTATCCTGGCCTTGCTAATGAACTTCACTACCACCTGCACATGTTAAAAATCCAGTAAAAAGACACAACGTGATCACAACGAACAGTTTACCCTGAAAAATCTCATGGTTTAACTTTGTTTTCACACAATAACAATTGATGTCAAATACTTACATATACACGTACACATACATTCCTGCATATTGTGCATACATGAATAGGATGCGTTTCTGCATTGATTAAAATGTTTTCTTACGTCTTGTCCATCACTGCGTCTTACTGCCTTCCAGACGAAACCAAAGGCTCCTTTACCCACAGCTTTAAGAGGCTGATACTCTTCATCAAACTGCCCGTCACAGGCTCGAGACTGCTCCAGGTCCATGGTGGAGCGCAGTGCCTCCCCATGACTGGCTTCACCAATCCTCTAAAAAGGAGGAAAGGAGTAAAGAATGAGGAATTAAAAGCAGAAAATGTTTTATTTTTTCCTACAGAAACATTATGTGCTATACTGACGAGATAATAAATATGTTTACTACCACTGACCTCTCCTAGACTGACTCCTGATTGGTTGTGCAGTGATTGGTCTGTTTGCAACAATGACCCCTGCTGTCCAGGCCTACTCATCCACACACAGAACATGGAGCTTCCATCAGGAAGGTCAGTCCTGCACACATCACACTGCACATCTGGAGAGAAAATAAGATAAGACAGACTTTATTGATTGCACACTGGGGCAATCTACTTGTTACAGCAGCTCGAGATATAACATAGGTAGGAAAATAAGGTACTGGTTAAAGTTTTTGCAATCTGTAGATTTGTTTAATGGGAAACAGGTGTAGTAATACCAACCTACTCTTGTGCCATCTCTGTGATATCCGCTTCCCACATATCGCCCCTCCAGTATCTGTGTACTGTCTGAGGACAGTGTGCATCCATTCACCTTCTGTTTCTTAGGAGTAGATGTGGTAGGGATGTCGGTCATTGACTGAACCCCACCATTCATTTGCACGCAGAACCCTTGACTCTTGTCTTTATGAATCGAAGAGATAGCTGCCCACTGATCATGCTCGCCCTGGTCTTTTTCTTCTTGCTCTTCACTTGAGCCATCTCTGGCTTCCACATCAGCGTTCCCAGTCTCAACGGGCTCCGCTTCCTGGTCAGACCCTACCACACATGGGGAGGGTGTACGCAGGAGCTCAGCTGTATCACAGGATGTCATGGAGTGCTGGTTATCATCATTGTACCCTCCGCCGCTGAGCAGCTCTAGACTACCGCTCAGATCTAGATCAGCCAGGGCCCGGGTCACCAGATCACCATTGCTGTTAAGGTCCAGGAAACAGCTGGCTGAGTCCACTATGTGTGCTGAGGGGCAGTCCTCTGTCTGGCCTGGATCAGAACCACCATTCCCAGCAAATTTTTCACAGAAGCCAGAGGAAGACCTGGGGAATTGAGTTTGTAATTGTTTGTTTGGCAAATATTTTCAAAATACATACATCAGTGGTTATTTGCCTGTAAATTGTTCAAGTGGGAAGTTGTTCCATCCAAATGAATGTTATAGAATTACTTTGCTCTTGTCATACCAGGAGAGATATATTTTCTTCCAAATTGAAGTATCAACTGTGAAACTTCAACTAACAAGCAATCAGCCTAAACAGTTTGAACACACTGGAAGAATAAAAATGAAATAGATTAAATGGATTTTAATTTTAATTAGTGATGAAGTATGCACAGCAGTTCCAATTTCTCCTCATCTTTTAGCCTTAGTTACTGACATAAATGATGCACTGTAGCTAGATATGCAAATAAGATTGAAGCTAGTTGTATATTTTGGTGCCAAATATAATGAATGAAAAAACTGCAACTTCTCCCCCCACCTGCTCTCCAGTGAGATGACTTCAAAGCTGGAGTCTTGGAGGACAGAGGCACATGG